GGAACTTTTTTAAAGGGTCGCGGCATTAGAAAGGTTGAGAACCCCTTCTCTAGAGGAAACCTGGGGGGGTTGGAATAGGTCCCCTGTTTGCTCCCTTAGTTTAGGGACCTTCCCCAATGTTTTCCCCTTCTGGCCAGTGAAAGAAGCTTAGTACCAGTCTCTGCAAACCCCTCCTCCGGCCCCAGGATCCTGATGAAGCCCCTCCTGGCAGGATGTGACTGAGGAGGGCTGTTTAGTGGGGGGGGGGGGGGGGCGGCCCTGTGGGTGTGGCCGGAGGGGGAGCCAGGCCCACTCCCAGGAGGCAGTGGGAGTGCAGACACTGGGGAACAGCAGTCGCCTCCCCAGCGCTCACTGGCTTGAGCCTGGTATGTGCCAAGGCAAAGGGTTAGGTAGGGTCGAGTTTTCCTGGATTCTGTTTAGTCCCAGCTGCACTCACTGCCTCTGGTCTGTTCCCCATCACCCTGACACCCACATTTCTCTCGTTCCCAGCTTCACCCATCGGGGATTTTTCCCATCTGTGTGTATGTGTGGCAGTGCCCAGTGGGTGAGCCATAAGGAAAGGAGGGACGTGTCAGGGCTCTGTGCCAGCTGAGGGGCCTAGTTGAGCCCTGGTGGCTATGAGACGGGACCTCGGGCTTCAGTTACATGAAGAGAGCCAGTCCTCTGCTCTTCAGGCCCCATGTGGGGTTGGCTGTAGGGGCGATGGCAGTGGAGGCATTGCCTGGGGAGCCCAGAGCTCAGGGCACACATTGCCTGCCCCTCCGCCTCATCAGCGGCTGCTCACTTCTCCTGCAGATGATCGACCAGGGCTTGATTCTGCAGGACGGGTCCTACTTCCGAGACCTGTGGAACATTCTGGACTTCGTGGTGGTGGTTGGTGCGCTGGTGGCCTTTGCTTTGGCGTAAGTAACTCTCTCTCCTGTTGGATTACCTTCCCCCCCTCCCTCCCTCCTGAGACCCTGGCCCAGGGGAGGCCATCTCCAGGGACAGCAGCACCCTGAGTGCCAGGGCTGTTGGAAGAGGAGCAGGGAGAGTCACTAAGGAGTGGTCCGAGGCCTGGCGCTCCTTTCCTGGAGATAATTAAACGTGGGCAGGGGCTCCCCTGTGTGGGCAGTGCCTCCATGGGCTCAGGGAGGGAGCCCGGCGTGGCTGCTGGACCCTTTCATTGCTCGATTCTCTCGAACAAAGAGGCAGTTCTGGGAGATTTCCTCAGCTGGGACCTTTCATCTCTCCCTGCGGCACCCCCACCTCCAGACTCAGCTGCCTCGTAGGGAAGTCATGTGGCCACTGCGCCAGGTTGAGTTTGTGAGCCTTCTGGGCTCCTGCACGGAGATGCGGTGCTGCCTGGCCCTCGGGTATCGGGTCCTCAGTGTTCAGTGAAAGGCTTCGGACAGGCAGGGGGCGGGGACAGCGCCTCAGGAGGGGACACAGGAGAGGACAGGACCCTGTGTGTGACCCTACACTCCACCCCAGGCCCTCACTCTTCATTCCCATTGCTCTACACGCTGCTTGCCTAGCTCAAGTCAGGTTGCCAGGTGCGCTGTCCTGCACTGGATGCTAAATCGTAAACTCACCGCTTATAATGGCTTGTCAACGCAAATAGTTTAAAAGAAAAATAGCGATTCTGCTCCCACCTCCCCCTCCCCCGACTTGGGCCTGGGCATCAGTCAGTCTCACGCAGGCTCTGTGGCAGCTGGTGCCAGAGCTTCCCGTTGCTGTGTGCCATCGTCGCAGGGCACGAGGGGAGGTCAGGACTCCCTGCCACGCAGGGGAGCTGGATCGCAGCCGCATCTGGCCTTTCCTTCCTCAGTCCTGGGCCGGGAAGGAGCATGAGTCAGTCTGCCTCTTGATGCCAGCAGGATCCGGAATTCCCACACTGGCTTTTATTCTTCTCACTGAAGTATGTCACTCTCCTGACACCGACATGGGGCCCGAAGATGGATAAGGTCTGTGGAAGGCATGCAGAGCTCGCCGCAGCGGCAGAGCTGGTTCTGTCATTGTTCAATGACTTACACAGGCTCAGGCGATTTTAGATTTGGAAGGGGAAATCCTTGAGGAGCCCCAGGATCTGGTACTCGGGTGCTGGTGTAGCTTTGGGAGCTTGTGTTTGGGAAGGCGTGAAGGGGGGCACCTGGGAAAGGAATAACCATTTAGAACTGAAATGCGAGTCTCTGCTCACGGTCAGCAGAGCATAGGAACATTAGAACCATCATCTCACCTGACACCTGGCTGCATCCAAGGCAGTCCCCCTCAAACCTCAAGCTTTGCCTTTTTGGCTTCTTTCTTGGCAGCACCCCAAGAAAGAACTGAAAGCGCGGGGGTCTCCCAAAGGAAGCTCTGAGTACACATTAATCTTGTAGAGGGGACAAAAGAGTGGACAGAGTTCTGCTTCATGCAAAGAAGACCCATTTACCACTGAGCGAGACAGGTCGTCCAGCTCCATTGTTCTGGGGAAGCAAATGAAGGATTAAAATTAAATTTAGCCGTCAGGTAGCCCATTAACTGGACGTAGGCTGCCGGCTGAGCTGGAATTGGAAATTTCCAGCAGTGAGCGGAGAGAAAGATGCTGTTCGGCGAGACTCCAACTTGAAGAGTCCCCTCGAGAGAGACTTTACCTGACTGCGCCAGGCAGGGACACTACAGATGATTAATGCCCATGGACTCTTGGGATGCCCAGGGCTGTATTATACTCTGGCTGCCTTGGGAGGGTGGAGGGACAGAAAAAGTGAGAGCCACATGGAGCGAGTGCCTGAAAGAGAGAAGTTCCCAGTCTACCTGCTCTTGGCATTGAGTCCCAGTATGCATGTGTCCTCTGTGACATGTGCTGTTGGAGGGCCCTCTGTGGAAAGTGGGCTTGGAGACCGTCATCATATGGAGGCCATGGGTGGGAATGCCCAAGCATTTTCTCTTGATTAACAAGCCCAGATTTGGGAGATGGTTGGTCGTAAATGGCATCTCAGCAGTGAACAGATAGAAAGATGTTGTTTCGAGAGACCCAGAACCAAACAGAATGAAATGGACCCATCAGGGAGCACGGCCCCATCCGTGTGGTAACCAACAATATGGATACCGAGACCCAGATGTTAGCCCCCTGCACAGAACCTTCCCAGCCATGGGAGAGCCAGGTCCTGCGGGATTAGGAAAAACCACTCACACTGTCCTCACATTTGAAAGGAGTTTTAGAATAATTCAGGTCAGAGGAGGTCATGAGGGGAAGTGTCAGCTCCGATCATGTGACCCGCCAGCCATCTGCTTAATCCACACTGGCAGAGGCACAGCCTAGCATTATGAATTAGTCTCCAGCTGGTATGTGTGAGGGGGTGTATCTGGCTGGACTTCAGCCAGTACCTAGACCTTCTTAGAAAGATCAGCCGATGAGAAGGTTTGGGGTGTTTAGAATGTGAAGACTAAGAGCCAAGACATAAGGTCACTAGCTTGACCAGATTGAATAACAAAATTGCTAGGAGACGGTCCACTGCTCTGCTGTCTCCTGCCGCGGCTCCGAGCTTGGACTAAAATGCCTTCCAGTGAGAGTATGGTGCTGTGTTTGCCAAGGAGAAATGTGCAAAGGCCAACATGAGTGTGTTCAGGGAGCTTGTTGAGGTCCACATGCAAGAAGGAAAGAATTCTGCACTAACCAGTTAGCATAGACCAGGCTCTGGTCCCAGAGCAAAGAAAGAAGCAGAGGATGTAGAGCTCATGGGTGACCCCGAAATGCTGAGGGATGGGTCAGGAAGAAGAGGGACCCTCCCACTTGGCCACAGCTAAGCATTACGAGGTCAAAGTGCTGGCCTTGGAGTTCCCTCTCCAGAGACGAGCGCTGCCAGTACAGAGGCGAGAGCTGCCTCCTCGTTTCCATGGGGCTTGGAGTTTAGAGCGCTTTCACCTCTGTATGTCATTTGTCCCGGACAGGCCTGCTTTATACTTGAGAAATGAATTGCCTGAGGTTCGACTATTTGACTTGTGCATAGCAAAGCCAGTTCTTAAACAATTGATTTTTTAATTTTATTTCAAGTTTAGGGCTTTCTCCATGACATGACGCTCTCCTCTGTCTCAGATATTCTAGTTAGTTCCAAGCCATTACCCCTGTCAGCTCCAAGCAGTGGCTTGGTGTGGCTCTGTCCTCGGCCTCCAGCTGCTTCTGCCTCTGCCTGGAGATGGACAAGGCCTGTGTGCCTGATGGAGAAGGCATCTCTGACCTTGTCCATCTTGCTTTTCTGTCTGTACCTGGTTCTTCCATGAGCCCTCATCGGCCCCGGTCTGATGAAGGATGCTAGAGCAGACAGCTCAATGTTTGAGCTCGGGAACCGCTGGTTCCTTGGCTGTTTCCTTCTTTGGCTAAAAGCCTCCAGTGGTTTCCGCGTGGAAAGGCATTGTGACATCAGAAATAAAAACATAAGATTGAGAGTCAGGTAGCCTTAGGTCTGAATCTCAGCCCTCTTCACTGTTAGCTGCCTTCGCTCTCTGGACATCCACTTGCTCATCTGTACGTGGAAATTAAAAATAACTGTTTTTTGATCTTGTGAGAATTAAATAAGGTGAAATGCATTCAGTGTTCAATATGGTGCTGAGCATTTAGAAAGTGGGTAATAAATGGTAGTTATTTTGCCTATCAAATAATAGCCCAGACACTTTTTAGCAAGGCTCAGGGCTCCTTCCAGCACGGCCCCTGCCCTCGCCTTCCCCTCAGCAAACCTGTCTATTCCTAATGCAAGACATGCCCTCAGACCCCCTGCTGTTCTGTCCTGGATTTGGGGCGGGGGTTGGGGGGGGATGGAAGGCCATGCCACCCAAGGAGGGAAGGCTCTCCAGGACGCGACACCCCCACTCTGTCCCCCGTGCAAGGAGAGTTGGGTTCTAGCAGAAACCCACTTGAGAGCATGTTCTTCGAGGACAGGGGCCTGGAAGCTGAAGGGCAAGATCGCAGTGAGTGATGAGTGATTACGCGTGAAGGATCTGGAGGGCCACTTGGCAACTGAGCTAGAAAAGTCTCGTCTTTTACTGATGAGACATAAGAGAAACATGGCGTTATTTTCTGGAGAGCTGCCGGGAGCTTACCAAGTAAGTGGGAAGTAAATGGAAGATCGTGTGGCCCAATTAAGTCCCAATTAAAGTGGGACCAGGGTGTCCTAGCCTGTGAAATTATCCTCAGACTTTAATATTAGAGTCCATTTTTAAACCTGGTAAAATTTCACTCATTAGCCAGGCAGTGTAAAAAAAACAATAATAAATCTGATTATATATTTAATAGCAACAACTAGCAAAGGATTATGGGATGGTTATATTTAAATGATGTATAAAAAAAGCACATGAATTAAAGTGCTGGAAGAGTTTGTGCTGCTAGTTTGATAAGACCTCTCCTGTGCGGTCTTGCTGACTTGGACATCAGCTTGGATAATTCTTACATGCGTGGGTTTGGGAAAGGTCCTTTGGCCGAGCGGCTAGGCCCTAGCCCATGTGTAAATAAGGGTCTGTTTCAATGAACGGGGGCTAAGTTGTTGAGGCCATTCCTGACTCTCTGGCTTTGTTACCCAGCATCCCTTTCACTTCAAATGGCAATTTTCAAACCAGCGCTGAACATATGTTAACACAACTGAGAATGCAAACGAGCCTTTCTGCAGCCACTCAAAATCAGAGCTTTTCAGCGGCTCCTCTGCACTGTGAGGCCTGTTTGGAAATGGTTTACTTTTGACCCATGTCTGATTACTCTCCCTGACTCAAATCTGTGGGAGTCAAGAGTGGGGCACAGAGTCCCATTCTCACAGTAGGTGGACAGCTACACTCCGCCCCTAGGATCGGAGCGTACCATCATGGCGCCCCGTTTTCCTAAACAAGGGACACCCCCTAGGGTGGTCAGAGATCCCCTTGGTTCCATAGTATGATATTATATTGGGATTCTAGGGCATAATTTATTGTAGAGAGAAAATTCTGTCCTCTACCCAGCTGTGTGGGAGGAGTGAGAATGCTTGAGCCTTTCTTACTAAGATGGGTGTCAGTATGAACCTCCGAGGACCTGCTCAGATGCTTCTGAATGTAAAGGTATTGGGGTTAAGGACCTGGTCAAGCAAAAGTGAGCGCCTGGAGTGTGGGACCCTTGACCACCTGCCCGGCCATTGATTCCACTCTATTCTCTCACTTTGGGGATACGGAAGGTTCTCCTACACGTAGCTTTTGCTCAAGATGAATGCAGCCAGCGGGGGGGCGGTTTGCGGGGGTGACCTATGTCCTATGTTGTTGTTTTCGTAAACTTTTCAATCAAATGATTCCGGTTTTCCGTAGCATTGAGCATACAGTTACACTTTGATTTGTTGACTTGAGGCCTGTCTTCCCTGCTAGACTGGGTGTTTCAAGAGGGGAGGGATCTCGTTTGTTTTGTTCACAGCTGTGTATCCAGCACCTAGAAAGAGTCGCTGACGTATGTCAAGGACTCCACCAATGCTGTTATATGAACGCATAAAGGGATACTTGACTGACCAACCTGGTATCCTGGGTGAGAAGATGCTGTTGCCATTTAGGGGAAGGTATTATCTCTGCCCGCTTAACATTTGGAGATTATCCCATGATGGATTTAAGGTTTAGGGGGCCTTGGGTTTACTTCCCAAATTAGTATCCATTTGTCATTTGCAGTGAAATTAATATAATTTTGAATACGGGACCATTTACTGAGTAAAATGGTATTTAGAAGTTTTTGTGGTATATGGTGGTATAACATAGGTTTGTGGCACATTAAAAAAAATTTTAAGAGAAATTATCTTCACTGCAACCAGCAACTAAGAACCAAAGCCTGAATGCTAGGCACTGCCTCATAGCAGCAGGCCGGGTCATGAGGTACTGCAGCTCACTCTCCAGGCCATCTTATGCAAGGCCCACCTCCCGGCCGCCGGTGCCTCGCAGTTAAGAGGACCTCGGGGATCGGTTCCGGCCCTGGAAGCCGGTGCGCTGTTTGACGGAGTCCAGAGCAGAGCCCGCTGGTGCAGAGCAGAGCCCGCTGGTGCAGAGCAAGAGCTCCCAGCACCACAGCCCAGCTCGCCCTGCCAAGGCCGGGCGCTCGCTCAGCCTCTCTGAGTCTCTTCTGTAAAACAGGGATAGTAACACCTACGCCCTAACGTGATTAGGGCGTCCAAATAAAGCGTTGCACTGCAAGTGCTTAGCTCAGACTCTAGCCAGGAAGAAACATGTAAAAAGCTAGCTCTCCTTATTTCATCTCAAGTATTTTACATTTATGCTCTCACCCTTTTTTTTGATATGTTTTTAAAATTAATTTTAGAGAGCGGGAGAAGGGAGAGAGAGAGAAACATTGGTGTGTGAAAGAAACATCTATCGCAACCTGGGTATGTGCCAAGCTGTTGTTACGCCTCACCAGTAGAGCTCAGATGATTTTTTCCCCAAGTTGTACAGTAAATAGCTCACGATGGACAATTGGTCATTTAATTTATCAAAAGCCATCCCTTCGTGTGACATGGGGACCCTGACAGACCACGCCTTCCCCATATTTCGAGGCAGTTTTATGGTGTCGCTCATCTGTGCTTTATAAGATGACAGAGTGCCCCTCCTAGCTTGATCACGTGGCCCCTGTTTGAATGAAGTCCTTCATGAGCATAAATATGGCAGGATGACTTGAATGCCCTTCGAGAGAGGTGAACTCTGGCCCAGAACAGGTGTAATTCCTCCAGCTGGTTTCTTATAAATTCACTGGAAACAGTAAGTGTTTGTCTAAAGATGACTAAAGAGATGGAAATAAAAGCCCGCATTTAAAACTTCAGTTACTCTAGGCTCAGTGGAATGAAGTACGATGATGGAGGCAGCCGCACCCTCTGCCTTTGCAAGTGGGAGGGGGTGGGAGCGCGTGGGTGCTGGCCTGCCTTTCACAAAGCCTGTGGGCTCTGCGGTGCCAAGGCCGAGAGGCTGTGAGCGGGACCTCACAGGCCTGTGCGCCTCCAGTTTCCTGTCTTGTACGGTTCCCTTTGTCCATGAAGTGTCTGATCTTCTTTCTCCCCATCCCTTCTTCTCTCTTTTAAACTGCTTTCTGCTCGGATCCTCCATAGAAACGCTTTGGGGTAAATATTATTCTCAGTTTTCTTTGAAGGAAGAACTCGGGCCTGGGTGGGAGGAGGGAGAAAGCATGCTTGGGAAGGAAGAGTGACTGGTGAAGGAAGGCACAGTGCGTTTACGTGAGCGGTGAGTTTCCACTGAAAGGAGTCGCCAAGCCTTCTTGGGACGTGACCCTTCTGATTGGTTTGAATATGGATTTGGCTTTGCCTTTTTTAGATAGGTAGATAGATGACCCTGATACAGTAAAAAGAGTTTATAAAATATACAAAGCCCCTGCATGCAAAAGACCTTATCGATGTGACATGTTTGGATTATCTATGTTCACCTCCAGGGTTGACTAAAAGTGACTTGTAGGTCATGGCCTATAACCTTTAAGAGGGTCTTTAAATTTACAATCTGAGCATAGCCAGCATTTCTTGAATTACATTAGATGTCTCCGACCTGGGATGGACGTACCTCCCTATCGGGGGTGGGGGTGACAGGCAGGGCCCATCGGATGTTCTGGGCCCCATTGCTCAGGTGGTCGGTGTGATGGTCGCCTGGGCCCACACGAGGGAAGAACCAGAGCCTGAGCTCACTGCTGAGAGTCTCATCCGCACCGTCTGCGTGTTTTACAAACTGCAGTTGTTTGAATTGAATGCAAAGATCTCAGGGGATGAGCAGGGCGGAGAGAGAGATTGCAGGTTGATTTATTCACTTCATTCAAACTAAAAAGAAATGTATCTGTAAGGAGCAAACGTTGCCAAGAGGCTGCAGAGGGTGGGCCATTGGCTGTGGGGGAGGATGGAGGTGGGCAGGCACTGCAGTCTGGGCCTTCTCCCAGCGCAGGGCTCTCTGCAGTCTGTGCTGGGCGCACAGCATCTCAAATGGGGAGGGACTGCGGGAAGAGCCAGCCATACGGATCACTGGGGTGTGAGCCAAGGTCCTGGCAAGAAGCCTGCATGACATGCCGTCTCTGGAATAGGCAGCCCAGCACAGCATGGGTGTTAGGTCCCCACCAGCCTTCCTCACCCTGCTCTCCCCTGAGCTGACAAGCTCTGCTGAGGTGACAAACCTAGAGCCAAAGACAGGGCGAGGTCAAGTCCCCTAAGGAGACTTGCTCTCAACCATGGGGTACTAATTCCTTTAACCAATGTCATCGGCAAGTCTACCACTGCAGAAGCAGTAGCCTGGACACAGCGGGGATCCACAGTGTGTGACCATCATGTTCCCTAGTCAAGTTCTCTTCCTTGTTCATTTTGCCAGTGAGCTACTTAGCAACATTCCACTGGCTGATAGGGAGAGGAAGTGGTCATTAACATGTGTGCATGGATGCCTCTGTGTGTGTGTGTGTGTCCCTCTATGTGAGGATTCTTATGTGTGTGTGCATATGAGAGTGTGCACACTGGGGAGTGCCTTGAAAAGTTTCCCAATGCATGTTTTGTGGCGTCTCCCAGAAGGACCCAAGTCCTGGCCTTTGGCCTACCTCTCCCCCTTTACTCCGTGGTTAATGCAGAAATGTGAATGTCATTTTCATTTCTCCCCGTCCTGGGCTTCCCCGGGGGCTTTTCCCCTGCAGAACCAACAAGGGGCGGGACATCAAGACCATCAAGTCCCTGCGGGTGCTCCGTGTGCTGAGGCCTCTGAAGACCATCAAGCGCCTGCCCAAGCTCAAGGTAATGCTTTCTGAGTTTCTTCCCAACAAGTCCCCTTTGCCCATCCTCTCTCTGCAGCCACGGTTGGCTTGCTCTTGTAGAATTGTATCTGGGAATATTCCTGTATTTGGGAATATCCCATCTACCTGGCAGCATCCCAGGAAATCTATGAAGGGGCTTTTGCCTCTTGCATTCGGCCTCAGGCAATAGTTATACACTCTGGTTGTGGCCTGTCATTCAGGAAAAACCGTGTGACTGTCCCAGAGCCTCCCCAGATGGAAGCAGCGGGGCCGCTGTCTGCGGTCTCCACACTGGGTCAGGCCAAGTAACCAGGGTGTTTCCCTCCTTGAGATTCTGGAGCAGGACTGACTCTGGCACTGACCCTTCCTGTTTTTGAGGCACAGATAGGTCAGTTGCTTGCCCAAGAACAGAGGCATTTGGGGCAGAAGCAGAGAAGAAACGGGGAAGTGAGCTAGGGTGAGTTAGGGTCTTCCTGTTGCCAGGAGCTGTGTTTGCCTGCGCAGGCAGGTCATCTGGTTCTCCTGCTCCTGACAGGTGCCCTCCCCGATTCTTCCTGCCCTCGGGGTGTGCTTCCCCAGTCCAGTCCTGTTTGCTACAGGTTGAACCTGCCTCCCCCAGACACATCCATTGCTATTATGGAAGCGGAAGTGTCCTGGGAGAAAAGTTGTCTCCTGAATCCCTGTGAATGACAGCCAGCCCTGCTTCCTAGTTCCCCTTCCTCATTAGGTTCACATATTCTAGAATATTCCCCACCAACCCCTCTGCCTCCCCCATGCTGCCCTCAGCACACTGTTTCCCTTTCTGCCCTCTGGCTCTGCAGAGGCAGCAAAACCAGCTGGATTTTATCAAAGGCTGGGACGGCAGGGAAGTCACTTCTGAAAGTCCCCTACCTAGCAGGGCCATGGCTTCCTCTTAGAGCCCAAGGCCCTGGTCACCTGCACAGGTTCCCAGGAGGCTCATGCCCCACAGGAAGTGTCCTCACTGCCTGCTTTCCCCGGCCCTGCCTTCCCGCCAGGAGGAGGCACCTCCCACGGTGCCGGGCAGTCTTTCACGTGCTGCTTGTTACAGCCCTCCACCTGGTGAAGGGCCCAGCGCTGGGCCTGGACTGGGTCAGTGCCCACAGGTATTCGTTCCCTTCTGTCCCACCCCAACCAGATTTGGCCGGGAGACCTGGGCCCTGACCACTCTTGGTAGCTGCCGTCTTGTGTCTCATCTCTTCCACTCTATGTGGGGTCCTGGGGAGGGTACAGGTGGCGTGATGCGATTAGTTAACAGACTGGAGGGCGACCCCACCCTTGGTTAATTCCGTTTAATGAAGAAGAGCTGGCTCCTCTCTCTGCTGCTCGGTCACCGAGGGAGATGTGGATGGCTCTGACGGTTCCACAAGGCTGCGTGTCACTCACAGTCCCTGCAGTGGTGAACTAATTACACCAGCAGTGTTCACCCCGCCCTGCGAAGAGCGACTGCAGAGATGCGATGCCACCGTGCACCAGACTCTCCAGTGAGCTAAACCTAAAAACCTAGAAAATAACCTAAAAATGGCTTGCAATGTGTTGAGGTCCCATGTTCCTTCTCATGGCTTCGGGCTTAGAGCGGCTTCTCCCAAGAGGAATCCAGTGTCCCTTTAACTGAATATCCTGCGTTGGCGCACCTGGTCTTCCATGTCCACCCCAGGGTGGCTGTCCATCCCTTCCCATACCACCTATTACATCTTTATTCCAGCTTTCACCTGGAGAACATTTATGTGAAGGGTTGAATGTAATTGGAGCAAACTTGCATTAAAATGGACAAAGATGATAGTTTATTTCATTCCAACCCATTTAGAAAGGTAAAGAGAAAAGGACATACTCAGTATACGAATCAAATCTAAGAATTTGTCACCAAATACATGTACGATCAGGGAACAAGCTATTTAATGGCTGAAATGGGCTGACCGAACCCAAAGATCCCTTTCTGCAACAAATTTCTGTCTTCCCACCAGATAGAGTGCACCTAATGGGGTTCCTCAAAGGGTTCTTCCATTGCCCGATGCACCTGTCTCTCTTGCTCTGGGGTCGCTGTCAGATTCAGAGCATGTGTCCCCTTCTCAGGTGGTGGGTCCTTGTAGTCGTGACCAGCTTGGAAGCCAGCTCTGAATCCCATGAGTGTCACTGCTTAGCAAGGCGATGTCTCCTGAGGCACCTTCTCAGTGGGCTGGCTCAGCTCTAGGCAAACGCGCAGGCCCTTCCGGGACTCACACCCTGGGCTCTTCTGTGCACAGGCCGTCTTTGACTGCGTGGTGACCTCATTGAAGAACGTCTTCAACATCCTCATTGTCTACAAGCTCTTCATGTTCATCTTTGCTGTTATCGCCGTTCAGCTCTTCAAGGGAAAGTTCTTTTATTGCACGGACAGTTCCAAGGACACAGAGAAGGAGTGCATGTAAGTGCCACCACACATCCCGTCCCCACCGCTCACTTTCTGCTGAAGTGTGTTCCCAGGAGGCCCATGCGACCTCCATACGTAGCTCTATTCTTTCTCATACCCTTCACATTCCTCTTTTAGAAGAAGGCAAAATGGGAGGTTGCTAAACTTTTATTGAGTATATAGAATCTTTTTTGTATCCGACATGGTACCTGGCATTCTACCTCATATATATATATATAATCTTAAATCTTTATAACCATCTTTTGAGATAGGTTTTATTTGCATCTTCTAGATGTGGAGCTGCGGCTCTGAAAGTTTAAGTTACTGAAAGGATTAGGAGTCAATCTTCTATGTCTGTTGGGCACCAAATCCCATTTTTATTCCACAGTGATACATTGCCTTGAATAAAATTCCTTTTTCATTGCATCTGTACGCTGATCAGTTACCCTGCATCATTGAAGTCCAAAGAATTCCCTGACTCCCTATGAGCTATAGTGAAGGGGCTCTATTTCATTTCTGCACTGGTTTTAGAGGCAACTATGTAGATCACGAGAAAAACAAGATGGAGGTGAAAGGTCGGGAATGGAAGCGCCACGAATTCCACTACGACAACATCATCTGGGCTCTGCTGACCCTCTTCACCGTCTGACCCTCTTCACCGTCTCCACAGGGGAAGGATGGCCTCAGTGAGTGACGAGCTTGCTTGTCTGTGAGCTGGGGTGGGACCATGTGGTTGCCTTTGAGAATCCGATTCAAGATGAACCAGGGTAACCCTTAGTTATTATACCAGGGAGAGTAAGTAGCTCTGAGTGGGTGAGAGAGGAAGAATGGAAATCCTTAAGGCAAAAATCGAGAGGGAGATGACAACGTCTGGGAAATATTTGAAACTCTTAATGTTTTAGCCAAGTATTGAGGAGTTGAGTGGACCCATTGTACTCCTGTAGAACAAGTAAGTTTTGAACAGCTTTCTATCCCTTACAAGAGTCCCTGGGAGTTGTTTTAAACAGATTTCTCCTCCAAGCTCGCCCAACACCTGAGGATTGAGGGTTAGGGATGAGCTGGCAGAACCCCGAGACACTTTCTGTGATCACACCTCTTCTAAAGAAGACAACAATGTCGTTTCTTTTTTTCCAAAAGATTTTTTTATTTTTTTTAAGAGAGGAAGGGAGAGGGGGAGAGAGAGAGAAATGCGGATGTGAGTGAAACATCAATTGGCTGCCTCCTACATGCCCCCCTACCAGGGATCCAGTCCACAACCCAGGTATGTGCCATGACCAGGAATTGAACAGGCAACTTTTTGGTGCATGGATCGATGCCCAACCAACTGAGCCACACCGGCCAGGGAAGAATGTAGTTTTTATGCTACCCATAGCTGTGCAGTGGCTTCTCAGAGACTTGGCAATCACTAAGACGCCCCTTTCTGGAGGCAGCATGCTCTAGTTGGCAGCAAAATGCCAAGTGGAAATCCAGGAGTCTCTTGGTATTGAATATGACAACCTAAACCCATGGTCGGCAAACTGCGGCTCGCGAGTCACATGCGGCTCTTTGGCCCCTTGAGTGTGGCTCTTCCACAAAATACCGACTTCTGCACATGGGCCACGAAGTTTCAATCGCACTGTACATGCATGACCGCACATGGTATTTTGTGGAAGAGCCACACTGAAGGGGCCACAGAGCCGCATGTGGCTTGCCAGCTGCAGTTTGCCGACCACTGACCTAAACTATCAAATAATGGCACTCTGTTGCTTAGAAGTTAGATGCCTGATGGAACGGGCTAGAAAAGCAGTGGGTTGAGGGTCACTGAATCCCCACCAACTTGGTTATTATGGACCCCAAATATATTAATGGAGGTTCTGCACAGTCAAGGGGGCCAGACAAGAAAATATAACCGGTGGCATATCTCCTACTGAAACCTTGAGTCAGAGCAGCGGCCGAGACGGCCATCCGCCATCTGTCCCCTCATCCTGTCCCCACAGGGTTTTGCAGCATTCTGTCGATGTGACGGAGGAAGACCGAGGCCCGAGCCGCAGCAACCGCATGGAGATGTCCATCTTTTACGTGGTCTACTTTGTGGTCTTCCCTTTCTTCTTTGTCAACATCTTCGTGGCTCTCATCATCATCACCTTCCAGGAGCAAGGGGACAAGATGATGGAGGAGTGCAGCCTGGAGAAGAACGAGGTAGGCCAGGTGGTCTGCAGCGTGGGCAGCCAGGGCACCAGAAAGGGACTCAGACCAGCAGTGTTGGGAAGGAAGGCAGTTTCCTTCACTTAATATTTATAGGGAGAAGGTGGGGGAAATTACTCAGTCGTTAAGTAAACTTTTTTTGAGCATCTGCTCTGTGGAAGGCCTATAGATGCAGTGCAGAGTCCAGAAGTGTGGTGTATGGTGGGGGGTGATTAAGACACCTGGTCACCTGGCTGTGTTGCTCTGTGACGCATGTTTGCTATAAAGGAAGGGGATATGGCTCATTTACAACTGCTTTTCTAGTAACACGCACAGTTCTGGTAGATTGTAGGGTTCGTTGTTTTTATAATGGAACTGAACTAGAAACTGGGACTATAAGAGAAGTGCATCAAGTGCTATGGGAACGCATAGAGAGATTTTGCTTTCTGACTGAGGGCATCAGATAAGGCTTCCTGCCTAAACATCTTTGCCACATGCCATGTGAAAAGGACATTATTAATAACCAATAAGTCCTTACCCCATGTGACAGGGCCCCACAGTTCTATGTATTCATTTAAGGTGACACGTCAACCCTTCAGTCCGCAGGCCGACGCTTCATCCACTGAGCCAAACCGGTCAGGGCATTCATCCTCTTCTAACCACCTAACAGAGCCACGAATGTGCAAGGCTTGGGGGATTGGGGCTAGGGCCAATAACCAATCACGACTTCCCTGCAGAGGGCGTGTATCGACTTCGCCATCAGCGCCAAGCCGCTCACCCGCTACATGCCGCAGAACAGGCACACCTTCCAGTACCGAGTCTGGCACTTCGTGGTGTCTCCATCCTTTGAGTACACCATCATGGCCATGATCGCCTTGAACACCATCGTGCTGATGATGAAGGTGAGAGGGTGGTGGCCGGAGGCACTGGGGCAGGCGAACCTCGGGGACTCTTCCCTCACAGAGCAATGGCGTGTTCACCCAAGACACCCCACCTTCCCAGTGTGAGGGTCCTTACCTACTTTCCCGTCACGGATTCTCCTTTTGATCTTCTCTCAATCAATAGCCCAGCCTCTGAGTCTTTGGGGCAAAATACAGTGAAACATAGCAGCTTCCCAGTAGTTCCCAAGACCAGAGGTGGTGATGGCAATGAGTTTCAGACAAGGGTGGAAATTTTCGGAGATGTCGGTGATCACAGGGTTCTAATGGAGTTGGAAGAGGTTCGACCTTGTTTAATACTAAATGGGCAAGTTTTAACTCTGGAAAAGGTTTCTGTCCTGCCCACCTTCATCTTGAGAAGACTGGCTTTTGCTAATAAGTAGCCTTGGGGGAGGGTCTGTGCTTCCCTCGGTTTTATTTCGTTCTTCCCTATGGAATATGTAAGTCTTCCCTATGGAATATGTAAGTCTTCCCTATGGAATATGTAAGTCTTCTCTGCAGAATTCCATGCCGGTCTCTCCTGCACCACGTGCCAGAACGCCTCCCGAGGGCAGGGGTGAGAGATGGCCAGCCTCGGGGACACAGAGTACCCCTCTCACTTTAAGGGTTGGTTCTTTCTCTCCTCTTTTCTCTTCCTGGCAGTACTACTCTGCGCCCTGTACTTACGAGCTGGCCCTGAAGTACCTGAATATCGCCTTCACCATGGTGTTTTCCTTGGAATGTGTCCTGAAGATCATCGCGTTTGGCTTCTTGGTACGTGATGGAATGTATCCTCATCCCATTTGGCTCCCCAGCCTTTGTGGGAAGGAGGGTGGGTACCACTACTCAGACACGGTTCGTGTACCTACCCACCTAATGGTGGGCTCCTTTCAACTAACTGCTCAGTAAACTGCCGTGGAGACAAGGCGATGGTGGGTTGGGAGAAAGGGCAAAGGATAGGAGAGCGCCACACTCATCCAGCCGTCAGCTCTGGTCCTGTCCGATTTCGTCAGTGGTCGAGGGGTGACAGTGGGTCTCACTAGCACTGCGATTTATCTGTTGCTAGGGAGCAAAGCAAGGACTGAACTAATAAACCTGGAGTGCTCATTTACTGTAAAAGGCATAAAATTTTATAACTCAAATGGGAAAATAGCTGTCCCTCTTAGCCTCAAACATAGTTGATAATAGGTTTTACCTAATGTGCCTCCTCCCCTTAGTCACACGAAGAGTAATTTCTGCCAACAAAAATGTTTATTAAGCTTATAAAAGCTAATCACCTTTGAAGTGTGTATGTGTGTGGGCGGGAGAGAGAGGTGTGTGTATTCTGGAACTGGGTTTGGGAAGGGTTGGGATGAGTTTTTCTGGCTTGAGTCCTCCTCTGATTTTTCAACTACTCATTATAATCGGCACATTCTTGCATCTGCTCTCCAGAGCGTTAAGCGAACCTAGCCCATTGCCTCAATGTCCTGTAGACAAGAGAGTCCTCTCGGCCCCCAGCCCTTGCTTCAGCGTTTACAGGGAGACCAGTGGGCTGCAGGGAAACCCCTCGACAGCTGTTTCCCCCGATTTCATGTGAGCTTCCATTCCAAACGATACGTGTGTCCGGGTTTCTCTGCAAGAAGGGAAACTTTCCTTGCGAGTGCTGATTGTGGGGTTGCCTTTGCTCTGTTAATGGCCCTTGGAAAAGTCATTAATTTGATGGCTTGGGGAGGAGAGTGGAAGGAAACCCATTGCAGGTGGCCGCATTGTTGTTTGCCTCACTTTCTTTTGAGTGTTTTGAGACTTGAGACTTGGAGAAATAAAAGAGTGAAAAGAAACCACCACCAACAAAGATGCCTGGGTAATAGTCTAGCCCTGAGTGCGGGGTGAGCGGGGTGATAGAGAAGTGGTACCGCAACGAGGGAGGTCTCCCTGTGCATCTTGATTACTTGCATGTGGTGTTGATGCCACCTGTGACTTAAGCCCCCAATTACGTGTCTATGGTAAATGCTGGACACAGACTTTGTCATTCAAGGTTTCGAGGCCTCTCCACACTATGAAAAGCACCACTAGTTCCAGGTACATCTTTACGTTGATAAAGTACTCTAGGTGTTCCATACCTTAACATGCACCGCGTCAGGTCTTCTCAGTGACTGAAATGACCACAGCAGATAGCATCATTAGCATTATTGTTATTCATTTAAATGAGGAAACGGAAGGTCAGAAAAATTGTGTAGTTCTTTTGAGGATTACACAATAAAAGGCAGTAGAATTGGAAAGTGTAATGGGGATAAAAAAGGAAGAAAAAGAGGAGAATGAACATATACTGGTTGTCTATTAAGTACCAAATATTTGACATATTATTCATTTCGGTTTCATAGCAGCTCTAGTCGATGGGCAGTGGTCTTCCTTATGGATGGGCCAGGGCTCAGGCAGATCGAATGCTTTGTCCAGGGTTCCTACAAGGCAGAGCCAGCATTCAGACCCTGGTCTGGCTGACTTGGAAGCCCACACTCTGTCCACCATAACGTACTATTCTGACTACACTGTGGGGGCTCTACCATACTGTCGGAAAGCATCCTCACCTGGAATCCAGGTCTTCTGTCCTCTGAGACCTGACTTTGTATTCTCTATGCTCTATGGGGGGGAGATCCCAGTACTAGGCAGCTGCCCCAGGTTGGGGATAGGAGGAACTTGGAGACTCACCTTGGCTCCAGTCATGAAGGAGTAGGTATTCGCCATGGAAAGTGTGATTGTGAGGCTGTGTGCTCCAGTTTCTCTATATGCCTGGCAGGTACATAGGGTTTTGGAGTCAGATAAGCCTCGCTTTGCTCATTCATAAAATGAGGATAACAATAGCTACCTTGCAGCCTCAGATATTTGTTGTGTGTATCCAATTAGGCAGTATGCCCAAGGCATCTAAGGCTTCCAATCCTGAGTAGGTGTTCATTATACGTAGCTCATCTCCCCACACTCCTTCCCTATCTTTGTCTCTCCCCACTCTTCTTACCAACCCTACCACTCAGTGTTGAATGAACATAGGTATCACTACCTACCTGTAGACTCCATAGGAGGAATAGATGAGTCAAACGAATGCCAAGGGCCTGGCCCAGTATCTGGCGCACACAGCAAGGACTCACTGATGCCAGCCATAGGATGGGAGGGGGTGCACTTCTATGGTGCTATGAGAGAGCTATGGTCAAGCAGGTGACATTGGGAGACCTGTGTGTCCTGTGTCTTTTAAGGAACACAGTCCAAGGTCTTTGCTCACCTGAGCCCTGGAAATGGCCGCATAATCCACTTTTAGGCAGAGTGTTATCTGATTGGTGGATTTTCTGGGTCCTTTGTTTCTCTTCCATCTCCTTCAACTCACTGGCTTTATTACTGCTTCCTTGTACTTTATTTCATTACACCTCCTCGAAAGGAGTAACAGGGCAGAGGAAGAGAGGGGAAATCAAGTCTGATCATCCTATTGCAAATCAGCCGTTGGTTTGAAAGGCTCAATGGAGTTAGAGGGGATTTTGGCATATCTTTCATCTTTAGTCACTTAGGACATCTCTGTGGCTTTTATTAATAATTGAAAGTCAGAACTGTATATTTATAGGGTCACGTGATACAAGATGGATAGAGTTATAGTTGTAGAAATCCTTGAAATAATATTGTAAATAATTTGATTGTCTTGTAGGTGACAATGATCTTTCTTTTTTTGGATTTATGATGATGTTCTTGGCCACAAATCTCTTCCTTACATATAAGCTTTTTAGTGACACCTTCAATAACAAGGTCTTCAAATAGTGATGAAACTGCTTCCCAAATGAGAAATTCCCAAATTAGTAAAGGAGACATAGCATTTCTGGTGAGAAATAGGAAACTGAAGCCAATGATAGAATGAACTTGTACATAAATTAACAAGTTTCCATTCCAAGTGACAAAGTTATGTAATGAAAGTTATCTTTTCCCCAGTTTTTCTTTTCTTCCTGGTTTTCTGTCCCTCCTTTTTCTGATGCCCCATCACTGAATTCTCTTGGCAGAACTATTTCCGAGACACCTGGAATATCTTCGACTTCATCACCGTGATCGGCAGCATCACAGAAATCATTCTGACGGACAGCAAGGTGCATGGCTCATAGAGCTGGTCTTTAAGCTTGACCCTGAAGTAGCATCTAAAAAAGCCCTCCGCACGTTCAGTCTGTTTTAAACGCATCAAACCAAACCTGTAGCCCTCTGAGTGTGGGGAGCTCACTTCCTCACTCCTGAGCTCTAGCCAGAAAATGCCAACATCGGAGGGCCCCGGATCTCCCGGAAGCCTTGTTTCATTTGTGTGACTCACATAGCAGACATCTCCTGGAGTGAGTGGAATGGATAGAGAGAGTGCCAGAAGAGACCTCGTGTCTAGGATTTTTGCCCCCAACGTTGTTAGACCTGAATTGTTTCCCTAAACTGTTCATCTAAAGAAGACTTGGAGAGCTCATAGGAGCTCTCTTAGAATGTTGGAGTAGATCAGTTCGTTGGGCATCTAAGTGCAGAGTTAGGACCTCTTACAGAAGATGAGCAGGTTGTTTCCGTCTAACACAGGCCACCCTCCAGGGTGCTTCCCCACCCTTCTTCCTGGGAATAGACGGCAGGCCTGGGGAGGCTGGGAGAGATGGTCCTCACTGGCCCATCGGCCAGAGATGGGTTAAGCACGAAAGACAGAATCCATGTCCGATTTTATTATCTGAATGAGGGGTAAATATGCAAAGACTAACTAGTGCTCCTATTTTCTAAATGACTCTAATGCCACTAATTCTGTGTTTCCTTTCGGTCCGCCAGCTGGTGAACACCAGCGGCTTCAATATGAGCTTCCTGAAGCTCTTCCGCGCCGCCCGCCTCATCAAGCTTCTGCGTCAGGGCTACACCATCCGGATTTTGCTCTGGACCTTCGTGCAGTCCTTCAAGGTGAGAGGCACCTGCTCCTCTCTGAGGGTCGGGGTGGCCCTGTCAGGGCCGACAGCACAGCCAGGCAGCACGGCGTCATTACACAAGTCCCTTCATCTCTGCCGCTGGTGGAACGGGGGGGGGTGTCAGGAGCACTAGATACACACAGCACGGCTCGGCCGCACAGCGGGCAGCTTATTTCTAACCGGATAGCATCTCATTCTAGAAAAACACCTCAACTTTGTAACTCCGTTATCTCTTCTGTCCACTGAGGCAGGGAGCTTATCTGAGGAGGCATTCCAAAACCTTGTCCATGTATAGAGCCTGTAGTCACTTACCCTCTGCATTTTCAGGGACGTGACAGTGGCTTTATCTCACAGAACAGGACTCCTTGAGGTCTGTTTTATAGCAAGACGAGTCCCAGCACGTCTTCATCAGTGTGTTTCCTGAGCCACTGGGTGTGTGGCGTGCTCACGATTGCCTCTGTGTCCTGTATACCGACAGGATGCCTGGCAAGGGTAACAGGGAGCATCTTTGGAACGTACAGAAGTGTATGTGTAATTAAGTGTAAGTGAAATACCAATACCTGAGACCCACTTTAATGGCAGAGACTTCCAGTAAAAGAAGTTCCCAAACCTATTTAAATATCTTCAGTCTCTAGCAAATACCATAATTAGCTGTTGTTTTTTAAAGGGAAGCTTTTTTAGAAAATATATTTTTGTTGATTTCAGAGAGGGAGAGAGAGATAGAAACATCAATGATGCGAGAGAATCACTGATTGGGTGCCTCCTGCACACCCCATACTGGGGATCGAGCCCACAACCTGGGCATGTACCCTTGATTGGAATCAAACCTGGGACCTTTCAGTCTGCAGGCCGACGCTCTATCCACTGAGCCAAACCAGCTAGGGCCATAATTAATTATTTTTAAGGTTCAGGGGGCCTAAATATTATTCAAATGCCTACTATTTTCCTCTTATACAAAAACAAGTTTTTCCATGACTGTGTTTTAAAAATGAATTTGATGCTATTCAATGATTGAAAGATAAGAAATCACAGAATTGTCTTCTTTGTTTTAATTACTTATATATGGGGTGGGCAAAATTAGGTTTACAGTTGTTTGTATGGAAAAAGACACGCAGGTTATAATTATTTACAATAGCTTTATTAACTCAAAAGGATGTCACAGTGCAACTGTAAACCCTCTTTTGCCCACACTTATCTTTTAAGTCCAAGTTGTGATAAAGAGTTTGCAGTTTCTCATCCTTCACTCTCATCATTGATTCACTTCTCCATCCGGGACCCATGAGCTTGAGGTGTGAGATGTGAGGCCAGTCGTAAGGACGTTCACTCAGGCTCCTCAGAGCAACCTTTGACATTCTTACTGTATCCAGAGTAACTGTTTGATGTGATAGCTCCCACGGAGGCCTTTGGAAAACCACATTTCCAAAGCTAACTGGCAGAGGAGAAATCTAAAACCTTAGTGAGAATTTACTACGAGTCTCAGGTGAATTCAGATTTAGAATTTGAAACCAGATGCTCTTAAAACCTTTTTCTCTAGAAGCCACCCCAACAAGCTATCATTTGTTCGTGAGTCTCTTAAGAACTATGTGTCAGCCTGTCATATTATCGTGATCACCATGTAGGGCAAAGAAAAAGCCTGTCAAAAATTGATGGCCAAATGGTTGGCTTATTTCGGTGAATACACACACTGGTGAAGACAGGTGACACTGTGACGGGTAGGTGTTTCCTTTTTGGAACAGTCCTGGGACAGGCACAAAAGTTGTTTTCCCAACGTTGGCAAACAAAGGCTGCCTCTGCAAATACACAGCAGGGGCCACACAATATAAAACAGCATGGCACTGCCTGTCCCCACCCTCCCAGCCCTGAGCTCAGCCCAGGTCTGCACCACTGCGTTGGCATTTATAAGGTGATAAAGAAGAGATCAGAATGAATCTTCAGTCCTCTCTCCAAAGCTGTGGGAAGGGAGAGATGAACTAGGGCCTGGAGCCCTTGGAGGAGAGAAGGTAGAATAAGGGCAGGAGGTGAACATAGAAGTTGGTAGAAGATAGCACACCCAGGTGGCAAGCAACCTGCCTCTCTACTCTCTCCTTTCAGCAGAGGGAGTCTCCCATGGCCCCTCGAAATGCAACCCACAGATCTCGGGAGTCAGCACTCATTGGAGAGGGGGTTCTCCCACCAACTTTTACCCTTTACTCACATTACCAGAGTCTCCCAGGGCTCTCCATGCGGCGAGATCTGTTGGTGAGCCCTGCGGCTCCTGCCGGCTGAAAGCCTGGAATTGATCCCCTGGGATCTGCACTGTCCACACTCAAGACAGAGTGGAGACGCACAGTTAGTTGTGCCGCCTTTCGGGGAGCTTCCTGGACGATAAAGAAGAGGGATTTGCACGTCAGCACTGAGATCACCGCAGAATTACAGTGCCCACCCTGGCCCCCGAACCCAACTGCCCTGTGCGCATGCACCCAGCCGCCCAGGGCAGTCTCCTGCCTTACATTTCCTCCCCTGGCTCCCTTCACCCCCGTAACTGAGATGTCGTCCCTAAGCGGCAGTTCGCTTGCCCAGTGTGGAACTTGGTGCCGCCTGATTTTGGACAGGGCTTGGTGGTGGCTGACACCTAAAAGGCGTTTGGGGATTTTGCATGACACGTATGGGAATATCAGGAACCTAAAACTTTGAGAAAAGATGTTTTCTCAGAGGATGAAGGAGCCTTCTAGGAACTGACAAACAACCAAGACCCCGGCATTTGCGTTTGTTTATAGATTCTTCTCATGGGCTTCGCATTGAGTGGGGGAATGGGAAAGGGTAACACTAGGATTGGAGCGAGGGCAGGATGCTTGCTGTGTAATTTGCATCACAATGGCCCACATTATTAATATTCTGTTGTGCAAAGTGGGATGAGCCCCAGGCCCAGGAATTTTCCCAGCTCTCCTTGGAGATCCGGGCCACACTCCAGGTGAGGGAATATTCTGGACAGGAGGTAAGTTCTGAGCCTCCCTGTGGCCAACAGCTTCCACCTCTGTCAGAGGATGTGGACATCTGCAAAGTGTGGCACCCCGAAACAGGCAGCCCCAGGGACACAGCCCCAGAAAGTCTGCATACGTCAGCCTCCAGACAAGACTCCTTTACTGCCAGTGACTGCAGGCCATTGAGCCTGGGAGCTGCCTGCCTTTGAACTCCTGGTCATATCTCTGCTTTCCTTCCAGGCCCTGCCCTACGTCTGCCTTTTGATTGCCATGCTGTTCTTCATCTATGCCATCATTGGGATGCAGGTGAGCGGGGGCGCGCGTGGGGCCTGGTCAGGGAGGTGGTGCCCAGACTGTCTCTGGCTCACTGAGCACTCAGGACTGGGGTTGCGTTAAAGGGGCACGCTCCCAAGGTCTTGTTGCCATGTGACCTTGGAAATTTCCCAGGTGCAGGCTTCCCCACTCAGGTTGCCCTGGTAGGCAGGGTGGTCTGTTACAGGGGCTTCATCTGAGGTTGTGAGACCATAGTGATGACTTACAGCAGCTGGACTTCCAACAACAAACCACAGCAAAGGTGGCACCAGTGTTCTTGGCCAGAGGGTGCCCAGGAGACTAAGGAGGGGGCAGGGCTCATGCTGATCCACTGCTCAGGGTCTCAGGTATTGGAGCCAGGCCTTAAAGGTCAATGGCTGATCTCCTGGATACGGTGACACAGAATATGGCTGAGTAAAATCCTGAATGGCTGAGATTTATAACCTGAAACTCACCCGGGGGAACAGCTTGTCAGGTTCTTGGCAGCATGCCAAACCCTAGACTAGCGTTCTCAACCTGTGGGTCGCAACCCCTTTGGGGGTCGAACGACCCTTTCACAGGGGTCGCCTAAGACCATCCTGCATATCAGATATTTACATTATGATTCATAGCAGTAGCAACATTACAGTTAGGAAGTAGCAACGAAAATAATTTTATGGTTGGGTCACATCATGAGGAACTGTATTTAAAGGGCCAGAAGGCTGAGAGCCACTGCCCTAGAGCCAGGGGCCACATTCCAGCTAGTTCTTCTCAAAGGGCCATGCAGCTGGCTGGTTACACATCCTTCCCGGTTTGGGAATTGAGAAGTGGAGCTCAGGTTCCCACCCTGGATATTCCTACAGTTGCCAAAGGCCCGTCGAGCGGAAGAGGCCAAAAGGTCTCTCACAGGCAACCGTCATTCAGGGTGTGTGGGCTCCTGCCGAAAACACACAGCAGCAGCCCATGGACCTACCCGGCTGGGGACACAGGCTCTCTGCTTGTCTCGGGGACTAACTCTCTGACTTGGAGATGGGGAGACTAAGCCCCAGCACAGAACTGCAGCCAAGCGGCAGTCCCCTGCAGTCAGGCAGGCTGGCCACCTTTGGACGGGCTGCCAGCTGTCCTCTCCACAGCACCTGCCATCTGGAGCCGCTGGCCACGTCTGCCAGGCCTGCCCAGTCAGCAGCCCCCGCCGGAGCCCCTCTGAAAGGCTCTCTCTTTTTACTCCTCTCTCGCGCCTGCGCTTCTGGATTTCATTCATCTTCTAACCCCATTACTGGAGAGTTTATATGATAGAAGCCAAGTGTCAGAAAGTGTGAGACTTGGCTGAGAAGTAATGAGATCTCCTTCATGGAGGACACATCAGCAGGGGTTTAACGGTGAAGTCCGGGGCGTGGTAGAAGCTAACTCCCAGCGACCTTGAAGATTGCCTTGACGACTTCTATTAAGTCCCTTGGAACTTCCGAATATTTGGATCTCGAATTAAAATCTTCTTGAACAGCCAAATGGAACTTGATAAAATTACATTCTTTTTGGCTTATGCTGGAAAATAATTCTTACCACCTTTTTCATTTTCAAACAAAATAAACTAGAATTACACCATCTCCCATACTAACTGGTTATTAATACTACTGAAATGGTGATAATGCTGTTTACCATTACTCAACTTCCTGAGTGTGGCACGCACTGTGCTAAATGTATGTCCTTACCCTCTCTCTCCCTCTTTGTGTGTGTGTATGCGTGCACACATATGTACATACACACACGAGATAGAGCAAGAGAGAGATGCAAAGCTCTTAACTAGAAAGATTGCATCTCATATTGTCATAACAAAGCAAAGGGATCCTTACAAAGGCAGAAGGACAGTAGACAGAGCATTAGAGAGGTAACGCAACAAGATGTCTGTATGGGAAGGACTGTTACTCTGAACTTTCAAGGTCATCTTGGGAGAAGAGAGTTTGCAGAGGAATCTGAACGTGGAAGGAAGGAGTAACTTGCTGGGTCTGGAAAAGTGCTCTGGGCTGCAGGTCCTTAGAGGCGAGGCTTTCAGCCTCAGCTCCCCCGCTGGCCAGCTGTGCAAACTTGGTCAAGTGACCGAACCTCTCTGGCTTAACACCCTTAGCAGTCCCGTAGAGGAGTTGGATACACAGCTTCACAGGTCCTGCCTGGTTCTACAGGTCTGTGAGTCCAAGTGAAAGGACATAAGCCCATACGTTCAGTTGGTTTCTGATGGGTCTCAGCATCCCTTCTTTCTCCTCTGTACCAATTTGATGTACGAGATTTGGGTTAGTGACAAGGACTGAGTGAAAAGCAAAAAAAATAAAGTGGAAACAATTTGAAAGACCACCTTCACAATAAATATACATTTTTGGCTTGAAAATTTTCTTGGAGAACATTCGGTATAAGTTTATACACATACCTCATGCAAATTCTCGGCCTGCCCTCTAACCAGGTCATGATTGGAGAAGGGAGAAAGTACACGTGTATGTGGTGAATCAGGGATAAACCGTGGATTCTGAGCCAGGAGGGCAAGAGAGAGAAAGAGAGAAGGAGATGCGAACACAGGCGAGGGGTCCTGACAGCTTCCTCCTGGGGCATCCAGAATTAGATTGGATTGTTCGGGATTTTTTCAGGGCTGCTATTTGTCTGTTTGGGGGTTCTCTACCTTCTCATCTTCCTCCTTCCCACTTCCCCAGTCCTGCCTGGCCTGCCCCCTCCATTCTCCCCGAGAGACAAGTAGTATTTGGGTTTTGAAAAGCAACGTTCCGAACACATTCCCAAAGCAGGTGTCAGTGGGAGTTATCCGAGCAAAATAGCTGGGGGCAGAGCTTGTTCCTCAATTGCACATTCTGAAAACTGTTATGGGGGGAATATGTTGCATTCAGCAGCTATTAGATAAATGGAGAGATGTTAGATATAGGCTGAAATTTGTCTCAAATGGCTGGGAAAGCAACCCGTGAGCCTTCAGTTGTGCAAACGGTGATTTGCGAGACCAGACCCTGATGTCGGAAGCGCAGCTGGGAAGGGAAGTGCCTATGGAAGGGCACCTTCTCATCTGAAGAGACTTGGGTGACCGTGGCTCCGGGCACAGTGTGTTGGAGAGCTCATCCTTATTCGGTGTCTGCAGATGAAGCGCTCTGGATTTTCCCTCTTTTTTCATGTGAATTTGCCTGGTGACCACGTTCTAAGCCCAGCGACCAAGGGCAGATTAGTAAACTCGCTCGGTAGCCAGATCTGCCCAAACCTGTTGCCGTCTTCCTCTTCCGAGCGTCCGTTGTCCTGACTCTCTTCATCCCTCTGGGCCGGACTTGCTTTGTGTGAGCCCAGCCTCGGGGACGGTAGTTTACAGACAGATGGACTCTCTGGGTAGGAACACAGCCAAGGAAGACAGCGATGCCCCTCTCTGACCTAAACTGCTTGTGCACTTGAGGGCAGCGTCTTCCCAAGCCATAGTCACATCTGCAGATCCGGATGCCCCCATCAGCACTCCCCGGGCAGGCAGAGACTCTGTGATGGGTGATGTCAGTGGCAGGCACACGGTGAGTGCCATGGTGACAGGTGCCATGGAAATAAAAAGACCAAATTAGGTGTGGGAGGAACGACAGACAGGTGGAACATTTCCCAGATCTTGCCTTCTACGGTCTTCTTTTCCCTCCTGCTTATCGGGCCACGGGCACGGGGCCCACCAGCCTGTCTGGGTGTGAGTTGTCTGCTTCAGGGCGAGGCCATCAGGAGGAGCCACGCGTGTGGATGTGCCAACCCTGCATGTCCTGTCCATGCGCTGGGTGCCTCTCACAGCTCCGCCGTGCTCATTGCTTTCTGTTGTTTTCTCCTCCAGGTATTTGGAAACATAAAGTTGGATGAGGAGAGTCACATCAACCGGCACAACAACTTCCGGAGTTTCTTTGGGTCCCTCATGCTACTCTTCAGGTGCCTGGACGCGGAACTCTTGTAGCCTAGCCCTCCACCGAGGGGACAGAGTTGGTCTTCTCTTCCACTGCCTCTGCCTCTTCACTGCCCTTGCTCCGCTCCTAGCAGGATGGCAGTGGGGTGGGGGCAGCAGAGGGGTCATCTCTAACTCAGTAGTGAATTTGCAAATTGCAGCTTCAGCTAGTCCTTTGGGACTCTGAGAGGGGGAAGGCGAGGACAGTTTCCTACAGGTCAAATTCCAGTTAAGGCCTGAAACCTTGGATGGCCGGGTGTGTGGGGTCCCAGAAAGTCCCATCACGATCAGCAGAGATTCTTCCAAAAACAGGGAAGCAGTGGGTGAGGTGGCAGAACCCGAGAGAGACTCATTGGCACGCTCCATGTCTGCATGGAAAGCATGAGAGCCGCGAGTACTAGGCAAAGCCGTTGGGCCTCCGGCCAGAGGAAGGGGTGGGTGAATTGGGAGAGAAGGCCAAGGAGAGGACCGGACATGCAGACCTGCCACTAATCACCAAAATGTCTTCTGGGCTCAGGAGTGCCACAGGCGAGGCCTGGCAGGAGATAATGCTGTCGTGCCTCGGGGAGAAAGGCTGTGAGCCCGACACCACGGCGCCCTCCGGGCAGAACGAGAACGAACGCTGCGGCACCGATCTGGCCTACGTTTACTTTGTCTCCTTCATCTTCTTCTGCTCCTTCTTGGTGAGTAGCCTTGTGCCCTTAACCCGAAATGTGGCCCAGCCCTGATAAACAGTCATGAGATGTTTCCTTCGGTGGATGGTCACACACACTGCAGCCCACGCTGAGAGCCAGGGTTTTCTCAAGAGAACTCTTGGAGGTGACGGTGCTTATCGGACTCCTGGGTGGGGGGCTATCCATGGTTGAGAAGACATTTGCTGCTTCCCCAGGAAGGATGGCTGTGGGAAGGGTTGAAGGGTGGGATAGAGGTCAGTGAATAGAACAGTAAACTTCATGTTGAATCTATTGTAATCCACAGTAAATCCTTTCTCTTCTGTACCTCGGATGTTTTATAAATAAGGCCAAGAACATCTTTTCTCTCTCTCTGGAGACCTTTGAACTGTTTGAGAAAAGGTACCTTGAAAATATAAGGTGATAGCATTAATAAGAGTAGAGTGGTGACAATCCTACAGTATAATGGATGCAATTCTCTTACGTCATGACTAGTGGCCCCAGTGCATGAATTTGTGCACAGGTAGGGTTCGGCTGGCTTGCCCCAATGGGGGCCGGTCGGGGCTGGGCCGGCTGGGAGGGGGTGGGGGCGCCGCTGGAGGTTTGCCCGCCGGCCCCACCCCTGATTAGGGTGGGGGAGCTGATCGGGGGTGGGGCTGGCCGGGGGGAGGGGCCTCAAGAGATTTGGGGGGCCCATCGGGGCCCCGATCCAGCTAGTTGGCCACTGCAGTGCGTGTCATAGCAACCGGTCATTCTGGTCATTCCAATCGTTCTGGTTGCTTGACTTTTATATATATATAGATGTTTAGTGACAGTGGCCAGCTTGACATGAGAGGATCTAATCGCTTCAGGTATTAGTGAACATTGAGTGATATCTGTGGAGCACACCTGCTTACAAAATAGTGAGGGGCCCAAGTGCCCCTTCATTCTTTCATCCAGAAATCTCTGTGCTGCATAATCTGACCAGTGGGGATAAACAGGATGATGATTGAGGTGCCCCTCCTAAATCAGTGACGGCCAGTCCTGTGTTTGTGGCCACCCTGACATCCCTTAGCTCAGCTTCGGTGCTAATGCCACTGACTGTACAAGAATCAAAAGCTCAAGCAATTCCCTGGGAAAGTGGGCAGTTTCATAGCCGGACATCCCAAAGTGAATGAATTGTCTCTCATCCAGCCATTTCTGCCTCTAACGTGATCCTCGGGGGACATGCCACCTGTCCATCTCTCGGGTGTGGGGAAGCAGCTTGCAGCTAGACCAAGGGGGACTGGGAGGGGACAGATAGAGAGTGAACTGACTGCCACGTTAGCAGCCCACATTGAGTTCTGGGCTTTGCTGCTACTGTAGCTTCTGTGGGACGGGAGGGAAAGGACTTGATAATGAGAGAGTTATTTAGTGAGCAGATGCATGTGTTTCAGTAAACTCCCTGCGGGAGATTTTAAAAAGAAAAACAAAACAGTATCCCATTTAGAAATATGGAAGTGGAACGTCTAATGGAAATAACTGAAAAGCAATTTTGAATGATATTGGAGTTTTAAGTTGATTCATTCACATATTCAGCACATTTGTACTGAGTGGTCATTAAAAGGTGAGGCACTGGCTGTACCAGAACTGAAAACTAAAGCAATGCCCTGGAAAGGTGGGCGGTTTCCTGGGTGGAGTAGAGCTCGGTGAATAGAGCAGTGAACTTCAGGTTAAATCTGTTGTAACCCCCGGTAAATCCTTTCTCTTCTGTGCCTCCAATGTTTTATAAGTTGATTCACTCACATGGTCAGCACATTTGTACTGAGTGTCATTAAAAGGCTAGGCACTGGGGTCAAGCTGTCACGGTCCCTCCATCGAAGGCTGAAAGGCATACAGGGGTCTCAGCGCTTAGATGGGGTGAAATGGGGCGTGTAGAAGGACCTGTAGACATCACAGTTTTATCCTACATGGTGTAAATGTTTAATAATAAATATTTAAAAGAAACCAGAGATATAACTGGAAAATTCATTAGCGACTCTAAAGGCACTGGTAGAATTTTGAGATGGAGGGTGCTGCATAATTCACGCTACTTTTATTTTTAAATTCACGCTGTATTCAGTCTGAGAGGATCCGCTTTCAAATATCATCCCCGGAGGAGAGTGACTTTGTGACCTTGGGCGAGTCGCACAGCTTCTCAGCCCCACGCAGCCACCCGGAGGGATGTACGGGTGGGCGGGATGTGCCGGGCCGTGCGCTTAGAGCCAAGGATGCCAGTGTGTGTGGGAAGCACTGGGTCCTGGAAGGGCTGATACAATGAAAGCTGCCACATGAAAACGTAGGGCAAGCATTAAAACAAAGAATAGGTGTGAATGTGCACACCATTATACAAGACTATAGGCAAAAGTAAAGCAATAATAAATACCTAAGAGTGTTTGTTACCATGAATAATAGGTACCAAGAAAGGAGTGTACAAGATGTGTGGATACGTGGAAAACCCTCTGTAACCCACGCAGCCATTGCATATATATTCAGTGCCCCACTGAACCAGATGAACTAGGAATAGGCAAGGGGTGGGTCCCCAAAAGAGCAGACGTACAGTCAACGGGTTCTAGGCAGCCAAGAATCAACAAAACAAGTGCTGTTCACTGTGGCCATCTAGTCCTGTCCCTTCCCCTTCCTTGAACTGACCAGTTTAGGCTACTATCCTGCCACTGGCTTGGTTCAGGGATGGCTACTCCTCAACACTGCTCCTGAGGGTCCTCTCTGCACACAGCTATCCCCTGGTCTCTCTCCTAGTTTGCCCCCCTTCAGTAATTCCTATTGCCTGCTGCCTAATCTAGACCAGGGGTAGGCATACTGCAGCCCATAGGCCAGGGGTGGGCAAACTTTTTGACTCGAGGGCCACAATGGGTTCTTAAACTGGACCGGAGGGCCGGAACAAAAGCATGGATGGAGTGTTTGTGTGAACTAATATAAATTCAAAGTAAACATCATTACATAAAAGGGTACGGTCTTTTTTTTTTCAGTTTTATTCATTTCAAACGGGCCGTAGTTTGCCCACGGCTGCCATAGGCCAAACCCTGTTTACCACCTGCATTTGTAAAACACAATGGCTTTTTCATTCTTAAATGGTAGAGAAAAATAATCAAAAGATGAATAGTATTTCATGTCATGAAAATTATATGAAATTCAAATTTTGTTACCACTGTCACCTGCAGATGCTACTTTCCTAGCTCTTGGGGAAAATCTGTAACATTTGTATATTTGCAATATGTCGCAGTCTTGACTAAATACTAAGTCTTTAAGAATACTCAAGTGACAACCTCTAGTGAGTGTCCGCGTGCTTTAAGCAGTGTGTTAGGCATGGGACTAGAACCCCGGGGTAAAATAGGAACTTTCTTACCCCCACCCCCTGCACCTGGGTGTCTCTTTGGAATACAGGGGGTGGACAATAAATGTTGTTGAGCAAGCAAGTGGGAGAACAGGGTCTTAGAAGCCACTCAGGAGCCAAGAATAGCTTCATGTCGGCATGCAGTAAGCCATGGTGTGGGCTCTGAGAGGTCTCACCAGTTCTGTTGGCTCCTTTGGTGGAGCAAGGGTGGGGGAGGGGCTGGACGGGAGAGTAGGCGTCAGGCCTTGGCTTTCTCCAGCCTTGGAGCATGTTGTCACTGCTGCTACAACAACAGTTAAATAAATGGAACAGATAACAATGCTTTGCAAATAGAAAACTGAAATAATGCTGTTCGCACAACGAAATGTGTGGCACAGATAACAAATGCAACGCATTTAGCAAGATCAACAGGCTTTGGTCGGGGCCTTCAGCCTTACAAACTTCAGAATTATCGATTGGCCTTGAAGCCTGTTTTTCTGCTTTGAGGTTCCCCTAACTTTTCTTCCCTCCCCTCGTGCCCTCCAGATGCTCAACCTGTTCGTGGCCGTCATCATGGACAACTTCGAGTACCTGACCCGGGACTCGTCCATCCTGGGACCTCACCACTTGGATGAGTTTGTTCGTGTCTGGGCAGAATACGACAGAGCTGCATGGTGAGTAGGCCGCTCGGCCACCCCACTGGGGCCTGTATGAGGGGTTGCCAAGTTCTCAAGGAAGAGGTTGGCATTAGAGCCACCCAAATGCTTGCCTGTTACAGGAGGAGAGGGCACTCCTCTTGGCTGTGGCCTGTTGGAGAGGCCGGGTCCTCAGCGTGGCTCTGGTATCAGACGTAGCTTTTCTCTGTCCCTTTCCCTCTCTTCCCTTCGGTGACAGGCTGTCCCTTTCTTTGCCAATCTCATCACACTGTCTGTTCCTCAGAGTGTGTGGGTTCAATCCCCAGAGGAGCTTCTTTTCCTGCCTAATGGTTGAGTCATCACCAGGGTTGACCAGGGTTTTCTGGGCCAATCGGACGTCTGGCCACCACGGTCAGTGACAGGAGTGATCCATGCCTCTCATCCCTCTCGAAAGGTCCAGTGTGAGAAAACGGAAGGTGTACACAAAAGCAAGCAGGCTGCCCTTCCGACTGATCCCTTGTGGATTCTATTGCATGAAACTGAGTTAAATGTCGGGAGCTTGTGGGGATACCTCCCATTCTCTTTCACTGTCCAGGAGTTCTTCGGCGATGTCATGCCCTCTGGCTTTGGAGCAGGGTTGGCGACGCCCGCCCAGGGTCTAGATGGGGCCCAATGCCGGTTTCCCAGCCATGCTCACCCGTTTGTGGGTTGCCCGAGGCTGCTGTCGCACTACAAGGCAGGCTTGAGTGGTTATGACAGAGACGGTATAGCCCTCAAATTCAATACTATTTCCTCTGTGAGCCTTTACAGAAAAGGTTTGCCCATCCCTGCTTTAGAGTTCAAGGGCAACCTTTGGGCCCTCGTGGCTGAAGACGGGTGAGAGTTCTGTGAGTGCTCACTCCCCAGGCTCTTTCCTGTCCCATGTCATCTTCACTTTGGGGACTTAATCTCACCAGTCTATCCTCTCTGGGCCCCCTCTGAAAATGCCACAAGGAATGACATCCTTCGCAGGAACGGGCCATGTCGCTTCCACCTGGAACCCCTTCCCCATCTGAGCCTCTTCCCCAAATCTGTCCTTCCCTAAGACTGTTGAACTTGGGTCACTGTTACAGGTTAGAACTGTGAATCAGAAGTCCGCGTCTCCTCAGCAATTAGTAGTGACTTCGGGCACAGCGTTCTCTAAGTCCATTCCTGTTCCAATGGCTGAGCAGTGGCTTTTACCTTCTGAGCTTACTTTCTAGTAGTCGGCTGATTAGAAAGCCCAGGGCAGGGTGTTGGAGGGGAATGCAGCCAGGCCTGCATCTGTCAGCTCCGTGGCCTTGGACAAGGCCCTTACCCACTCAGAGTGTCCTCCCCTGTAAAATGGTGATAATGATACCAGCCTCGAAGGCTGGTTGTGCATAACTGTTACTATCATTGGCAATAACCATGTAGGAAAGTGACTGGAAAGTGTGGACTATCGATCTGTAAAGCATGGATGGCCATCGGATTGGGAGCCTGAGCCACTAGCAAAGGCAGTCACTGCCCACCTGGCCTCCCTCAGCCGGCCTTGGCTCTCAGAAACCCCAGCTCCCTGTGGATTCACATGATCTCGCGACCCAGATGCCCTGTCCATTAAACCTGTCCCTCCCCACTCATTCCAACTGCTGGGAGGAAACAATGCCATGAGGACTACTCCTGAGACTTAGATGCATGAGCTGTGAGAGAGCAAACAGGAAAAAGAAAACCTCTTCTGTCTGCTTTGAGATTCATGGCGTTGATATGTTCTGGTTAGAGTTTCATTGGCCTTGTCTATGAGATGAGGGCGGAGGGACTGACAAAGATAGAGTGAGTCAGTGTCTTCAAAGAGAAGGCTGCTACGGGTTCCAGAGACCATCAGCCTCTAGATAGCAGAACCAACCATCCACAGTAAGGAAAACAGATGGACAGATTAACCTCCTCTCAAGGACTGATGAGCTGCTCTTTGGAAGAGGAGGATGAATCAACACCAAAATCAAGACCCGGCAGAAAGAGCGGAGCTGGGGCAAAGGCCCAGTCTCCACGCGGCTGCTGGGAGGCCTGGCGCTCGGAGGCGGAGCCGCTGATCACACCAGGATGTGTCCAGACCCCTGGCTGTTGCTTTCTTGTCCTGGCCTACGGATCAGATGCTTTAGCCACTGAAAACGAATCAACTGTTGATTCTGTGCTTTTTACAGGAAGCATAACTCTGCAGCAGGCTCGTGGGGACGGGGGTTGGTAAGACAGGCCTCATAGTTCCTGGAATTCTGACTGGATCAGACCGAGCTGCCTGTGAGCTGGGCAGTGGCGTGGAGCAGGGGACAGGGCTGTTGTCTGAGCACCGCTCTGGGCAGGCTCCCCGAGGGGCGGGGGGTGGGGAGGGAGCTTGCCCAGCTCAAGACAAATCTGCCAGAGAGAGCAGCACAGCCCTTTGCAGCGTCCCTCGTGCCAACTGTGCTCCTTGCTAATTAGCTAATGGGCAATGTGTGTCTCGCAGACGCGGACTTCCTCGCCGCCCGACACGTGGGCCTGAGGAGCTGGCTGTTGGCCGTGACTGTGAAAAACAAACAGTTCTGCCGTCCACTTCACGGCAGCCGCGCTTGACAGCGGTCAGAGCAGTGGTGAAGCGGCAGGCTGTGTTCCTCCAGGCCTCGCTCGAGCCAGGGCCCATTTCCTGCATCTGGCCAGGTGTGGGCCGCATGGATAGGTATCGTCGGGCTCGATTGCCGTGGGAAATTGGGGGCAGTGCAGGTTGCAAGGCGATGCCTCTCTGGTGCCCACTGTGCTCAGTCTCCTGGCCCGGCTGTGCCCGGCCCGGAAAGGAGAGCTGCTCTTCCTCTTCCGGCCACGCCCTCCGTGGCTAAGCTGTCGTTTCTTTCCCGCCTTCTCTGAGTGCCCTATTAACCCACTTCTGCTTCCTTTTCAGTGGCAGGATCCCGTATAAGGATATGTACAAATTAGTGCGGGTCATCTCGCCGCCTCTGGGCCTGGGAGAGAACTGCCCCTACAGGGTGGCTTGCAAGGTTTGCCTCCCAGTCCCCAGCCACGCCTGACGATGGGGTGCCACCCGGACCCCCCTCTCTGTTCCGCTCCACCCCCACCCACCACCGCGCCACCTCAGGGAACCTTCATGTTGCTTTCCTTTGAGTTTAAAGAGGTCCAACCCTCCCAGAACCAGCAGCTGTTACACTGGGGAAAGGGGCACGGTTGGAGGGGAGGGGAAGCAGGAAAAGGAAGAGCTGAGGGCTTAATAACGAAGGCCGTTTTGACCTCTCACTTTCTTCTTCACCTCCATGCACTCATTGGTGGGTGGACACACACACCCTTCCCACTCCCCTGTAATCTGCACATTTAACCAGAGAATGCAGAAACCTTTTTGTAAAAAGCAGAGAGTTCTGGTCTCCCCTCACTGGAGACAGACACGCCTCCTTTTAGCAAAGTAGCATCATGGTCCCATATATAATGTCCCCAGGTGTGATTCCAGTCACTCTACCTCTGCCCGCCCTCTGGCACCTGGACAGTTATAAAAGCTATAGGAAGGAGAGGTGGTGAGAAACAATGAAGAATTAGGGCAAGAGGTGAGAGGAGGTCAACAGGGATCGCTTTGGGGGCGTGTGGAAGAATTCAGTAGCTCAGAGGGGCCAGGAAGGTCACAGTAGAGGGCAGTGGGCTCCTGAGCACATGTCCTGCCATAGGGGCGGGGGGAGGGGGTCTGTTGTTTGTGAAGCCAAGGACATACATGTTCAGGGGCATCCAGGACCTCCCTCTGCCAGACCCTGGGAGCTCACATCCCAGTGGCTCTGCCCAGCTGCACCCAAGGCCTAGCCCGCTAGATAAGGAAGCCTCGCTGGGTGCAGAGGGGAGCGGGGCTCCCTGGGGCACAGCACAGCCCAGAGGGGAGGCTGGAAGAGGACGCAGGCCCAGGAAGGTGAGGCCCCGGGCGACAGGCAGGAGCTGGCTGGGGATGGTGACACAGTGATTCCCATACTCGGGAGGCCCAACAGCTGCCTCTGCTGAGACTCTTTAAACTTGACCCTGGTGCCACCTGCTGCCGCATGATGGGAGAGTGGGAGGGCAGCATGGCATGCAGGTGCTCTTCCTCCACCTGGCTTTGTCCTTCTGCCTCCAGCGTGCCATCGCCCTGGACGTGCTGGCGAGACAAGGGCACTCCCCCCACGGGGCCAGGTGGAAGCAACGGCGACCCCGGCAGCAGCCACAGCCCACCACTGCCACGGCGCCGCCTCCGCTGCACACCAGGCACAGAGGGATACACAGCGCCCCGCCCGTGGGTTCGGAGCAGGAGAGAAGGCCGGGAAATTCTGACCCACGGCCGGAGCGCCGTCTATCCGGTTTATACCACGCGCACACAGCCCTGGGAATGGAGACAGGCTTGTGTTGTACGGGACGAAGGCGTGGCCAGGGGAGTAGGGTGATGCTAGGCCAGGAGGAGCGGACAGGCGAGTCCCGTGGCGGTGCCACTAGCGTTCCCGGGTCTGTGTGGGGCTGATATAAACCCGCACCAGGATGGAGTCACCTGTACGATTTGCCTTGATTAACAGGTTTCCTATTCTTTTCCTGTTTGTCCGTTCCGTTTTGTTTTCCTCTCCTGTTCCGTATGATCTGTCTGTCTGTGTTGGCTCTTCTGGGAATGCCTGTTCTCCCCCCCACCCCCCGTCTGCATCCTTCCCCCACTTCCTTTCCCTGCCACCTGCCGCCCCTCCCTGAGCAGTGGCCGCATCCATTACACTGAGATGTATGAAATGCTGACTCTCATGTCACCACCGCTAGGCCTCGGCAAGAGATGTCCCTCCAAAGTGGCCTATAAGGTAGACCACCCCTTCCTTTGTTCTGGGCTAGCGACCAACCCACAATGGGGTCCAGCTGTGGGGAGGCCAGGCCGTGGGGAGGCAGCGGGGCTCGGGAGGCGGAGGAGGGAAAAGGTGATGAGACGGAAGGGTCAGGAAGGTCCAAGGAAGGATGCCGTCCCGAAATGACACAGCAGGGGGTTTGCAGTGCTGGTCACCGTGGGCTTTGTTCCGTGTCATCTGTGTTTAACCACAAGTGTGTGGCTTCCTGTGAGTGGCTTCCTACGAGGGGAGCGTTGAGTAGTGTGTTTGCTTTTAAGAGGAGGCAGAGTGGTGGCCCACAGGACACCTACCCACAGAGCTGTCCGAGCAGATAGAAAAGGAGCACCTTCCATCAGAGAAGCTAAGGAAATAGTGCAGAAATGGCTCTCACCATGGCTCAAAGAGAAATGTTGCAGGAGAGAGGAAAACTTTTAACCAAGTTCTTCCTCCCTGATGTGGAACGGGGCTGCGGCCTGGTTCCTTCGAGGTCACATGAAGGAGGCACCTGACTCTACCCCGGGACCCCCGACACGGGATGCCGCTCCCTTTGCCCACCAGCCCCGCCGCCCACTTCTCTGGGCGACACAATGGGAAGGGGGACCGAGGGCCGAGTTGCCTTCAGGATTAGATTTCCCTTCTGGGCATGACTGAGTTTGGGGGCCTGGCCCTGCAGTTGTGGGGGGGATACCCCCCGGTTTGCATAGAGCAGCATTGTCCATTGGGAATCACCTGCCCTTCTGGAACTCATAGCTTTGAGGCCTGAGTTTTTTTCCTCCACAATTAGGAATAGTTACTACTAATCCCCCTTCGGTGTTGAGACTGACCCAGAACACTGAGCTCTTTCGTGCACCTGGGGCTCCACAGCGATGTTGCCACTTTTCTAGATGCTTAAGGAAGTGGAGAGAGATGAAACTCAGATTCAAACAAGAAACTGGCCTGAGGAGACACCATGTCTGTGGAATCACATTACATGAAATGTCCCCATGGAGTCTGAGAGGCCCCGCCTTGGGAAGAGACACATCCCTCCCTGCTAGGCTGGTGGACCTTCTCCTGCTTCTCCAAGTGGTAGCGGTCCAGAGAGGATCTCATTGGAACGGAGCCCTTAGGGACCCTCATCCACCCCAGCACATGGCTCCTTGTGCACAGCTGAGGGGCTGGCATCCTTCTAGCTCATGATGGCCACATTCCAAAATGCCAGATGGCAGAATGTGGCCCTGAGTTCTTCGAAGTTTGGGGATGAAGCTTGGTAAGAGAAGACGTGTTGGGATTGGAGGAAACATTGAAAGAATTCCTAAAGCAAGATACTCTCTGGAAAGTGGATTTGGCCATTTCAGTGTGATCCCTTCCTTTGGGCGAGGGGAACACGGCCTGCCCACTCTGCTCCTGCCTCGTTCACCCTCCTCTCATGCTCTCTCCGCTGCGCCCCACCCCTCTCACCTGACCGTGTTTGTCTCTGCCCTTTCCCATCCTGCTCCACCTCATCCATTGGATAAGCTGGACTTCTGCATGTTCAGTCATGTGCTGGCAAATTCCATCTCTTAAAGACTCAAAAAGGGGGCATCAGGATGTCTCTTCAAGTCAGATAAGCAAAGCAAAATCTCCCCCTCCCTGTCTTTCCGTCTGAGCTTTGGGAGTGTTCACAGGACACGCGGAAATACAGAGCAACCTTGACAGGGAATGGAGCCCCCTCCCAGAGCTGACTCCGTTCCCTGAGCCTAGAAATCACTTCCCGTCCCTATGGAAGACATTCTTAGGACTGTGGGAGTCCTACAGAATGACCAGTCCCCTTCCCTTGGATTTTGGCATCATTTGGGGGGGGTGGGTGTTGGGCACAAAACAGCAGCAATGAGCCTCCAATGCGAAGTAGGGAGAGTAGGGTCGGGAGAGGTGGGATCCTTGCCCTTCTTTTTTGTCTCTGCATTTGACTCTGCACTTGTCTTCCCCTCTCACCAAGGTTTCTTTTGATACGTCTTCCCCCTGCTGTTTCTCTCTCTCACCCACAGAGGTTGGTCCTGATGAATATGCCCGTGGCTGAGGACATGACAGTGCACTTCACCTCCACCCTGATGGCTCTGATCCGGACTGCTCTGGACATCAAGATCGCCAAAGGTGAGCCCAGCCAGGAAGCAGCGATTCTGGAGGGGCTCATGCAGAGATGTCTGAACTGTCCCCCCTCCAACAATGCAGAGACCAGGAAATCCAGTACTGGGGTCCTAGTGTCCGCCTGAGGTTCAGTAACTACAACGTTGCCCACTGCCTCCTGGCAGAATGAGCGGTTGCTTATCGCCAAGGCTCCTTTCAGCTTTAACAGTATGTGAGCCTCAGTGTCTGGCACATAGTAAGCATTTTAGACGTACGTGTTTATTCAACAAATGAGCTTTAATTGTGGCCTTTTTTTCTTATGTGGCACCTATAATGCCTTGGAAGGCTTCCATGGCAGGTGCTGTCATGGCGGGCCTTGCTTCCTCTGATTTTTAACTCAGTGACTTAGGAGAGAAAAGGTTTACTGTTTCCCAATGGGCCTCCAGCCCTCCTGCTCTTGCCTGATCCAAATCCTGTTTAAAATCAGGTCACTCTGACCAGAGTCGCTGGAAGAATTGATGTCCCTGTAATGAGGCAGGAGAGGTCGCCGTGTGGCTCTTTTCATTTCCCCTCTGATACACAGAGCACCTGGGAGGCTGCTCCAGTGAGTGAGGAAGCTGACCGTGGTCTCGGGGCCTCAGATCTCTGGGGCAGGATGTCCCTGAGTTACTGAGAATGGGAGTCCCATTGTGTTCTGCTGCTTCAGCAGGAAGACCCAGCATTGCAAGATCCACTGCCACTAAGAGCCGGGATGTCCCCAGAGAATACACGGTGCCATGCCGGTTCAGCTCCACTCCCTCCTTGTTCTTTCTGTCTCTGTGCTGTTTATTCATAGTTTATCTTATTCTATCAGGTGGTGCTGACAGGCAGCAGCTAGACTCGGAGCTACAGAAAGAGACCCTGGCCATCTGGCCTCACCTGTCCCAGAAGATGCTAGATCTGCTTGTGCCCATGCCCAAAGGTACGGCATCTCCCCTGGGTACCCTAGTCCCAGCAAGCCCAGCATGCCAAGGCCTTATCTTTGAGGGGAACAGAGAGTGATATAAGGGATAAGGGAAACGTGTCCTTTTATCCTTAGGAAACGAAAAGCCCTCACTTCTTAAGTCCCCTTTGTCATTATTAATTGAAAACATTTTCTCAAGTGGGGTCACTGTGGTTTTGGGTGAAAGTTTTTGGTGTGGAGCTCTCTCCTTCCCAAAATACTATGCATCCAACCCTCATGCCGTTGGGAAAAGGGTGCTATTGGAGATGGAAATCTAGACCAGCGGCGGTGATGCTTACTAATGTCTTCTCCCTCCTTGGACGGCTGTGGAAGCTCCCTGAGAAGACATGTGGGGACCTGTTGACTTTGCATGCTCAGTGCCCGGCGCATACCTGCTTCAGAGGGTGGAGAACAAAGCTTGAGGCGTCCTCCCTCTCCCCCATCTGCCTCCTCTTTGGTCCTCCCATGCCACATTTGTGTTTTTCAGCCTCTGACCTGACTGTGGGCAAAATCTATGCAGCAATGATGATCATGGACTACTATAAGCAGAGTAAGGTGAAGAAGCAGAGGCAGCAGCTGGAGGAACAGGTGAAGGGCCACGATAGTAGGGTGGGTGGGTCATGTGAGGGCTCCTGAGGGACAGGCCTGTGTATCCCTAGGGTTCAGGGTCCAGGAACTTTCTAGGGTCGGGGGATTAGAAACCCAGTGAGTCAAAGGTTAAAATAGTCAATTAAGATATCGCCATGTTCCTATTTTATCCAAGTATATTGCATGTTCTGCCATAATCATTTGAGTTCCTTTCTTCTTCTACAGAAAAATGCACCCATGTTCCAGCGCATGGAGCCCTCGTCTCTGCCGCAGGAGATCATCGCCAATGCCAAAGCTCTGCCTTACCTCCAGCAGGACCCCGCTCCAGGCCTGTGAGTAAAGCCAGAGGGCCACGGCTCTCCTGTTTGTGTCTGTCACTCGTGCCAGTGTGCAGGCCCGGGAATGTGGAAGGAATAATGCTAACTCTGAGCTGAATGGGCCTTTCTCAGAGGTTGAGAAGACGGGGGAGAGAAGAGCAGGTTAGTACTGGGGCCGCACAAGGGCAGGAATGGTATATGTTAGTATCACCAGAGAGGTTAAATAAGTGGCCCAACGCCATATGGCTAGTAGAAAGCTAAACAGGAATTAAGTCATTTACTTCTAACTCTAGAATCTTCCCACTACACTACATGCGAAATAAACAAAAAGAAGCTTAGGTCAGGCAAAAAAAAAAGTCTTTATTTTCTGTATTGGCAATGGAGACAAAACTCAATTAAGGAATCTGCCAGCTCTTTTGAGTTGTAAACTTTGGCGCCAATTTGGTCATACACATCTTATGGGAACATTATCTTTCTATCAAGCATGTACTGAAGTAGCAAAGGGCATGAAGTGTAAATGAGCTTTCGTGATTGGATTTACTCCAGTCCTGCTTCTTAAGAAATCCATAATCACTTCACAACCTCTGTCAAAATGCCATTTAGGACCTCTCACGCCGTTAATTTCTTTCTGCCTGTGGTATTGGGGACCTGGTTTTGAAAAGCATCATTTTCAGAGGTCACAACTCAACGCATTTGGAAGAAAAGGCCCAGATTCTGACCAGGGCCATGAATCGTTTTAGCAAACATTTGATGTGATGAGGTAGCAGGGTGTGGATTCTCCTGTCTGCAGAAAACAAGCAGATGTTGCTCTTTGATCTGTGCAGGAAGGAGGTAAGATGGCAGAGTGAGACCACCTCATTGGAAGGATTTAGTGTTTTCCAAGGGTTCTTGGCTTAGAAATGGAGGGGACCCCACACACACACAATTCGATCTGTCTTATCCACACCAATTCACTGTACAAATTACCTCCCATCATAGGATCACTCTGTCTTCTCTTCCTCATTGATTTAACCAATATTTATGTGACTCCAAAGCTGGCTTAGGCACTGGGGATGTGGCAGTCAATATAATCACAGTGCCTATAGAGACAGATCCTGAGAAAGAAATGAAAGATAATGGTTAAAATGCAGAAGGCAAGTTATTGTGATGCTGTGCAAATAAAGGAGGCGGCTGCCTACTTTGAGGGTGGAGGAGGCTTCCCTGAGAAGAAACAGGTAAGTGAGACTCGAAGGCCAGCTCTTCAAGAGAGGAGAGGCGAGATGTGGTCAATTTAAAGAATGCAACCTGTTAGGTGGAGCACAGTTCATGGAGGTGGCAGGTTTTGAGCTTGGAGAGCGACAAGGGCCAGGACGTAGGAGCCATACAAGCAGGACCCAGAAGTTCAGTTTCATCCAAGGATAATTCCTCCGAGTGACATGATCCGATTTGCACTTTACAAAGATCATTCATGGTTCCAGCATGGATTCAGAGGATTGGAGGAGAGCAGTTCAAGAGACAGGACACCACTTAGTAAGTGACTGCAAAGGTGTAAATTAGTAATGACTGTGAGGTAATGGAGGCTTCGGTGATTGCTGTGCTCTGTGGAGGAAGAAGAGGGAGGAGGCAAGGATGGCCCCGGATTCTGGTGGATGTTGGTACATTTCCTGAGATGGGGACACTGGGGGAGCAGCCGGCTGCTTCCTCGGGACCATCTGTGTTTCTAGAGCTTTGCCTTGTTCAAGTAGAGACTGCTCAGAGGATACAGCAGTGACTCTGACAGACAGGGCTCCTCCCTCATTAAGCATGCATCTGGTGGAAAACCAGACATGAAACAGAATTATTGGAAAGAAAAAACTATTTTCAGTGATTAATCACAGTTCTGGGAAGTGATAGGAAGAAACAAATGCAGTGTGAGCTGAGTGCATGTGAGAGGGAGATCTGATCAGTTACATGGGAGAAAGAACAGATTTCCTTAAGGGGGTGACTTTTGATAAGCATTTTGAAGGATGCATTAAAAATACCAGGGAAAGGTTTTTCAGGGGGCAGCCTGTATTCAGGCTTTGTAGCAGAAAGAAGCCTGCCACAGTCAATGAACGAAGTCCTGTGTGTCTGGAATTCAGGGAGCAAGGGCTAAAGTGTGTAAGCAAAGGCTTTTGAGGTAAGAACCAGATCATGGGAGAGGCCATGTTCAGGATTCTGGACTCGATCGTAACAACGAGAAGCAGACAATGCTTTTGAAGTTGAAGGTCAAAGTATTCAGCTCTGAGGTTGTTCAGTGATTCCAAGGGTCCTCTCTACTACCTATTGGGGATTCTCTCTATGGGTAAATTATTTATTTTCTGTAGGGCAGAGGGGGACCTATTTCTTATAACAGCAGTGCTCACCTTGTTCCCAGCGGTTCTCAGGAGAAGACGATGGACATTAAGTCATTGAATAGCAGATGCTCTGTAGCAGTTGTGAAAATGCTGTTCTTCATCCCTTATCCTGTGATCCCAGTAAGTCGCACCTATGGAATATTTTGAAGCAACTGGCAGCCCTTGCTCAGGGCTCGGAGCCATTAACAGTAGACACAATTACGAGATGACGGTCTTCATCTCTCTCCTAGCTGCCCAGTCAGTGACCGCTCGCTGTCCCTCCTCCCAGGATCAGGAAGTTCACTCTTGAGCAGGTCAAAGGGTATCTATGGCGGCAGCAGCCAAAATTTTAGGACAATTGACTGACTCTCTCTCCTGACCCAGCACCGTGGATCACATTGGCTAAGAGTACCTACAGGGACCAAACATGGTTTAGTAACAGGCAGTTTTCCATACCCTTCACTCAGAGCCTCTAAGTACTTGGCTGACTTTGTCGTGTTCTCTCACATCACCATTTAAGCGTTCTTCCACAGAGCCATCAGCCCAGGGAAGGTCACCTCCTCCCCACCCTCTGGAATCCTTCCACCGAGCTCAGGAACCAGCAGACACAGTGTCTGGCACTGAATTGTTTGGTTTGGCCAGGGATGTTGGCACAATAAAGCCATGTTCTTACTGAGCGTGGAGGAATTTTTTTAAAAGACCACGACTGCTTAATATTTAAACAGACTGTTCGCTGTTTAAAGTATGGCATTTTTCCGCCTAATGGAGAAACCGAGCCGAAACCGGTTTACGATCCAGCATTGGTCTTCCATATGGCTGAGTGTGACAAATGATGTCATGCATCACAGACATGTGAGTCACCAGCCGAGTGAGGAAGGGTTCCAAATGCAGGTTGAAAACAGTGCTTTCTCTTTTCCAGTGTGTGTTTGTAGTTTGTTGTTTTTTTAAGTTTCTATTCTAGGGCTAGGCACCTATAAGCTAAAAGCCCACCAAGAGTATTGGTAAAGGGTGTTGCCCAGGCTGGGACTTGGTAGTGGCGGCGATGGCATATCTGTTTCTCGCTCGTGCACTCATTACCTCTGAACGTGGCATTGCTTTTCAGGAGTGGCCGGAGTGGGTACCCTTCGATGAGTCCGCTCTCCCCCCAGGAAATATTCCAGCTGGCGTGTATGGACTCAGCCGATGACGGACAGTTCCAGGAGGAGCAGGCTCTGGTGAGTGAATGAGTCACAAGACTTCCAAACAGTTCCCTAGTTTGCTGATCCCTCCCACTCTTTTTCAAATTTGATTTCATAGCCACAGTCCACCAGGAAAACCCTCTCTGTTCTCTCAACCAAGGACCCTAGGAGTTTCCTGCTGTCTCCCAGGAAACATGGAGACATGTTTCATGGCAGAATGTCTCATGTTCTCTGACAAATGCTTCCTCCTTAGGTTTTACCATCTCAAGGGCCCCTTATCTGCTGGAGAAGTTTATGTTGCTTCAGGCCAAGCCCTATTCATTAATGCCTTGGAGCATCATAAAATCTTGTCTTTGATAAGGAGTTTTAGGAGAAATCGTCATAGAATGAGTGGCACCCACTGGGCAGCTTAGCATAGTCAGGGATGCCCCGCCTCCTGGAGAATTCAGGGTAGCCTGTCCAAGAGGGACAGTGTCCACCAGGAGATGCGAGAATCTCTTGCCTCTGCAGGTTCAGACCAATTGGCCACCATTTTAGAGGGTCAAATACATTCTGAGAGGTCCCTAAAATCACTTTCCTGAGCCCAAAGTTTTTCATTAGCATAAATGGTGAAATTCCCAAGAAGTCTACCGAGTCCAAGCTAAGCTTGAAGAAGAGAGGACAGGTTCAACTTCAGCTTTGATATTAGCAAACCCTAAACTGCTATTCTCAAAGATAACAGACTTGACTTACCATTATTCTTAGCTCAGCAGCCATGAAATTCCCGCCGAGATTAGAATTACAGCTCAAGTGGTTATTGCCTGGAGAGAAAAAGACAAAACCCAACATTTGCAAAAGTCCAGGTAGACAGCTTGTACTGAGTTCCATGCCACTTGGATTATAATTCATCTGTGTTTTTCTCCCCCGACCCCTCCCCACTGCTCCTGTGTACCCCTGAGCTATCCTGAGGGGTGGTATGAGTGGAGAGTGACCTGCATGTCTGATGGAATGGGTACCTGTCAGCAGGAGCAGAACGTTTCAGTAGCTCAAACAAATGGGTGATTCTTCTCCTGGGGTTGCTGAGTCCAGGGAGTGTACATGGTTGGGTAGGGGAGACAGCGAGACCACACTCTGACTGGGATCCCAGCATGTCAGTGCCTGAGGGTATTCTTGGCAAGATGGGTGGGAAGCCTTGGAGGAATTATCTGAGCAAATTAGCACAAGGCCCAGGGACTAATTGGTACTGATAGCTTGATCCTTAAAAGGGCCTCTCAGCATTTTAAGGCTTGCCTGGTGATGTGTCTGTCTGGTGGGGAAAATCTCAATAATGTGTCCTTTCTTTTCACAGGGAGATTTTATTTCTGCGGGTTCCCCCGGGGCTGAGCCGTAGTGCCAGGACTTTTGGATATGTGTTCATCTCATTGTCAGTACCGGTGTCTGTGATTCAGGTGTCAGCCTGTGCTCCACACTCACCACTGTGTACTCCTGCCCATCCCTCGGGGGCCCTGCTCTACGTGCTGAGGCGTGGCCATGACGTGTGTATGTGTGTGTTGCACCACCTCTGACACTCGTAGACTGCAGTGTTGTTACCACATGTGTTTCGAGTCAGACTTGTGTACTATATAAAGCATGTCCTGCATACACTGACTTCCTCAAGTGCACACATCACAGGTCCTGGGATGCAATCCTCCCACAGACACCGCTCAGCCAATGGTCATGGAGGCTGACTTTCAGCAGCGCCCTACTCAGACACCGGTGTTTTTAGAGTGTCATTTCCTAAAATAGCTTTTTTCTGGTATCATCTCCAGATGTCTGAGATATTCCTAGGTCGCTCTGTTTGGTGAGCCAAGTAAAATTTCTGAGGCAGCTCCACTCTCTCTGGAGTGACACTAGCCATCTCTTTAGAGCAGGTGCATTTGCCAAACTGACATTCTTTGACCAGGAAAATAACATAACAGGGTTGGACAGGACTTTAAAGATAGTCACTCCCACCTCCTAATGCTCTAGAGTGGCACAGTCCAGTACAATAGCCATTGCCCTCATGTGACGATTGAGGGCCTGAGATGTGCTCCAAGTGGAAAATGCATACCAATGTCAAAGACTTTGATACCCAAAAAGTGTCAAATGTCTCATTTTTTTACATTGATTATATATTGGCATGAGAATATTTGGATATATTGGGTTACATAAGTATATTAATTTTCGTGTTTTTTTAATGTAGTTACTAGGAAATTTAAAATTACATAATTGGTCTGCATTATATTTCTATTATATACTGTACCAGTCTAGAGCATTCCTGGCAGATGTCCACCCACCACATTTTTTTGAGATGATTCCAATCATAAGAAAACTCTTTGCTAATAAGATCATGTGTTTTAAGGTTTGAGAAAATACATTTAACATCAGATATTTCTGACTTTAGAATACTGGTTTCCATATCGTTGATAAAGAGCTTCTTAGGTTAAAAGAATAAACCCAACAGTACCAACTCTCAAAAAGTATGTTTTTATATAAAGCTATAAAATCTGAGGCATTGCTTAGTGATCTTTACCGTTTGAGACATCTGGTATACCACATATCTGCACATATAGACACACACAACAGACCTTAAAGATGCAAGTCTCTCTTCTAAAAGCCATTCTTGGTGTGGAGGAGGCAGGATCAGCCACTGGAAATGAGAAACAATGAGATGGAACCAAGTCCCACAAGCTTGGCTGTGTTTATTTCCAGGAGCCAGAGTTTAGTGAATTAAAAAGCGTGCAGCCCTCTAACCATGGCATCTACCTTCCTCCGGACACCCAGGAGCATGCGGGATCGGGGAGGGCAGCCTCGATGCCACGCCTGACTGTGGATCCCCAGGTAAAAAGCAACCACCTACCATATGCAGTGGCATCCTGGGCTGTATTGAATTGGTGGGTTATGGAAAAACATCTGATATTTTCAGGTGAGCCTTGGACTTGCCCTCACCCCTTCCCTGTGAGCAAAACCTGGCTCATGGGCCTTCTCTCTACAACCTGCTCCTCCACACGTGCTTTCAATGGAGCCCTAAGCACAACAGCCTAGATAGCAAAATTCCCTCCAGATGGGCGCAACATCCTCCAGACTCAACCAGCCATGCAAGAAATATTTCCCAGGATTTCTGCTGTGTATTTCTCCTTCCTTTTCCCTTTCCTGGCTCTTCAAGCACGTAGGCAGTTACTGAAACACACACAGCTCTGTGTCAGGACTGTCTGTCCTAACCAGTGCAGGCCACGCCTCATTTCTTTGTCTGTTTTCCTGGCTTCTTTTTTCTGTCTGTCTGTCTTACATTAAGTTTTGACAGAGACAAGAAGTTTACATGGATCTGTTTTTAGCAGCTGTAGCAAAGCAAAATGCCCAAGTTTAAGGTTGGAGGTGGGATGGATGATGGAGAGCAACATGTTCCTAGTAGCTGCTCCATTACAAGGTCTTCTACGTTCTGGTGCTGTAGGACAGGCCTTCTCTGGCGCACGCCCAAGCCATGCTTCTTTCATGGCACAGACGTTTTGACAATTGCCCTCACATATTCAAAGTGGCTCAAGGTTCAGAGCAGGTCCTGGCTGAGTCCCTGTGGGAGGTGGCTTTATGGGAAGCTTGCACATTCCCTCCAGATGGGCGCTTGCTCTCCTGAGCATAAAGGGGAGACCCTGGACCAGTGATATAAAGACCTAACATAAAGACACTTTCCGCCATAGCCTCCTCCAGCTAAGGTCTAAGCAAGAGGGATTCAAGGGTGGTCACTGTTTGCAGTCTTCAGCCACCTCAGTCCCACTTCTTTCTTTTAGACCCATTCAGTGATTAATCCCTACCTTGTGTTCCTCGGGGGGGCTCATGTTTCCAGGTAGTAACAGACCCCAGCTCCATGAGACGTTCGTTTTCCACTATTCGGGACAAGCGTTCAAATTCCTCGTGGTTGGAGGAATTCTCCATGGAGCGAAGCAGTGAAAACACCTACAAGTCCCGGCGCCGGAGTTACCACTCCTCCCTGCGGCTGTCAGCCCACCGCCTGAACTCGGACTCGGGTAAGGAGGTCTGCCCTGTTAGCCTTTCGGGCTCCTGCCTGGATGGGCAGGTTCTGGCAAGGACTGGAGGTCTCTGGAAGAGAATTGCGATGAGGGTTAAGGAAGAGTGCTCCTTACCCAAGGGGTCCCGTATCTGACGCACACCCTGAAACAGGCCCAGGAGATTCTTCCTTACAGACCAGGGCTGCAGATGTCATTAGAATTGAGGTTCTCAGAGGGTCTGCAGAATGCTTGGGGTTCCTTGGGAATGTATTAGAGACCCCTAACAGGCTGGGCTTTAAGCACCAAGTCCACTTCAGCCCAGAGAGTGCTACCCGGCATGGTTTTGCGTATTGGAGCTTTCTTATTTTGCTAGATGAACAAAGATTTAAAAAGCAGTGACTTCCCTGTATCATAGGGCCAGTAAGCGGCAGGCTTGAGACTAGAACTGAAATCCAAGGATTCTCAATGGCACAGCTGACGTAATGCCAGGGTATTTAGTTCATAGCAACTTCTTAATTTCCTTCTACTGCTGTCATCTTCACCCCTAAAGTTACACACCCATGGTCAGGACATAGAGGATTGCTGGACCCTTTTGTTGGCAACGATTCTAAACTGCGTTGTAGCTTTATGCTACAGCAGGAGAGAAATGATTACATCCTTGGACATGCACGGCTTCCCGTGGCAACTCGCACACTCACCTGGTAGCCCAGGGGTGATTCTCTGGCCTTTCTCTCCCGTCTCCCTTTCAGATCACCTGCTGACACGCCCAGAGAAGCCAGGGCCTTGGGCGCCCAGCCCCAGGCTCCGAGACTTCTCTTTCTTTTCAGAGTTGTGATCAGTTGCTTTTGTCATCTTTCCCAGGCCACAAGTCCGACACCCACCGCTCAGGGGGCAGAGAGCGGGGACGATCGAAAGAGCGAAAGCATCTTCTGTCCCCCGATGTCTCCCGCTGCAACTCAGAGGAGCGAGGGACCCAGGCCGACTGGGAGTCCCCAGAGCGTCGCCAGTCCAGGTCACCCAGTGAGGGCAGGTCACAGACGCCCAGCAGACAGGTGAGCATGGACAGGAAGCCGAGCCTCTGCAGAAAGACCAGGAAGGGTGGTCGTTGACGTTAGGTCCAAAGGGGGGCACCCAGCACCCACACAGACCTAGATGCTGTGTGCTCTAATATGAATTCACAGAAAACCAGACCGCCCCCCAAGAAAGACAGTGGTGTCTAGGGATCATTCCACTCCTCAGAATCTTGAGGTACAGAGTCCCAACATATAAGTTCACAAATGTCTCAGCCAGATTTAGAGGCGAAGGATGGTCCGTTAGCCAGAAAATGTTCATGGATCAGTCGCATGAGCCTTGGTATGAGTTGGAACAGTGATTCAAGTTCATTTCCCTGGCTGTCAGCCTCCTTCCCACCTGTTGTAGAAACACCAGCCTGTGCCTAAGAAATAACTACCAGAGCCATTCTCTGGCCTGCTTTTCTCCTCACGACCACCCCCCACTCCCACCCCACTTCTCCCCGAGGTTCTCAGAGCCCGGATGGGAGGCCCGCTCGACAGCGGTGGGACAGTCAGCTAGGACCTGGGGAAGTGCGCTTCTAGAGCGGTGGTTTTCAAGTTTTTCGTGCAGAAGAGAATCCCCTGTGGCTTATTAAAACGGCACACGCCTGGCACCTTGAGGAGGCGGTTTCGGTAGTGAGGCCCGCCGCCCGGGATTCTGCACGGGAGGGACCCTTCCCGGGGAGATTTGGAGCCGGTGGCTCTGCACAGGAGGGACCCTTCCCCGGGAGATTTGGAGCCGGTGGCTCATAGGTCACACACGCCTTGAGAAACTGTCCTGCAGGTCCAGTAAGGCCTGAACCAGCAGATGAGGGTGTAAATCAGGGGTCCTCAAACTTTTTAAACAGGGGGCCAGTTCACTGTCCCTCAGACCGTTGGAGGGCCAGACTATAGTTTAAAAAAAAACTATGAACAAATTCCTATGCACACTGCACATATCTTATTTTGAAGTAAAAAAACAAAACGGGAACAAATACAATATTTGTATTTGCATGTGGCCCGCGGGCCATAGTTTGAGGACCCCTGGTGTAAATAAACGAGGCATGCGGCCCGCCGCCCGCGAGTTTGACATGCTTGGTGTAGAAGCTGATGTTCACCTCAGGGAGCCAATGAGGACAGGGAGGCGTGCCCTTCCCTCAGACACACTTCCCAGACGAGCAACCCCCGAGCATTTGTGCTCCTCTCGACACTTTCAAGTCTGTCTATCAATGGGCCACTTGTTACATACGGCGGGTGGGGGGGGGAGTAGGTTTACAGTTGTTCGTATGGAAAATTAGTTTCACGTACTCACAACTGGAAACCTACGTTTGCTTTGCCCACGCCTGTACATAGAGCTTCCAGATCCTTGCTACTCAGTGTGCGTGGGCCGTGGACAGCAGCGCCTGGGAGCCCGTTAGACATGCACAGTCTCAGGCTCCCCCAGATCGTCTGGGCCTGGACCTGTAGTTTACCAAGACTCCCAGAAAACCGAACCCAACCTGTCTCACAAGCTGACATGCCCCAATCTGAATGGTATTGGTGTCTCACTCTCCTGTCACCCCTGCATGGATGAGACTTGGAGCAGAGGGGACTCCAGCCCAGACCCCTTCTCCAGGGCTTTCGGAGATGGTTAGGCACCTTAGCAGGGCCCCAAGCAGGGAGCGTGCCCAGCCCAGTCTCACCTGCCACGTCTCTCCTGCTGTACAGGGCACGGGCTCCTTGAGTGAGAGCTCCATCCCCTCCATCTCTGACACCAGCACCCCAAGACGAAGTCGTCGGCAGCTCCCACCCGTCCCCCCGAAGCCTCGGCCCCTCCTGTCCTACAGCTCGCTGCTTCGACACACAGGAAGCATCTCTCCCCCGGCGGATGGGAGCGAGGGCGGCTCCCCGCTGACCTCCCAGGCTCCGGAGAGCAACGACGCCGGCCTGCCCGAGTCTTCCAGGCCCCCGCACGGCCACCCCTCCCCGCAGCGCTACATCTCCGAGCCCTACCTGGCCCTGCACGAAGACGCCCAAGCCTCGGACTGCGGCGAGGAGGAGACGCTCACCTTCGAAGCGGCCGTGGCCACCAGCCTGGGCCGTGCCAACACCATCGGCTCAGCCCCGCCCCTGCGACACAGCTGGCAGATGCCCAACGGGCACTATCGGCGGCGGAGGCGCGGGGGCCCGGGGCCGGGCATGATGTGTGGAGCAGTCAGCGACCTCCTGAGTGACACGGAAGAAGACGACAAATGCTAGAGGCTGCTCCCCCCCTCCGATGCATGCTCTTCTCTCACACGGAGAAAACCAAGACCGAATTGGGAAGCCAGTGCGGCCCGGGGGGGAGGAGGAGGGAAGGACCGTGTGCTTATCAGAGGAGGAAAGGACCAACGGCAACCAGTCGAACCCACCAAATTGCTTTACTTCCCTTTGCGAGATGGGCACTGCCATAGTTCTGCCTCTTTGCTGGGGAAAGAAGACGAGAGAACATGGAGGGTGGCCCCTGGAGAGGGGACACCGGGATCGCTCTGCTTCCACTGCCCCTTCCCACTTTTGTAAAAGCCGTGGAGGAAGTGAGCTGGCCTGTGTCCATGTCCATTGCCCTGCGACGCCTGGAAGCCTTTCTGGCTCATTATTGGGGGGGCGGGGGGTTGTGGCGACCCTAGGAGGGGAGTCTCCTCCCTCCCTCACCAGCTCCCCACCAGCACCATCCGCTGGGGCCACTGCATCTCACGCGTCACCCTGGGGCTGGCTTCCCCAAAGAAGCACAGACTAAGTTCAGGAGCATCGGATGCCAGGGGTGGGGCGGGGAGGGAGGGGTGGCGTGGAGGGGTCAGGGTGCTGTGGCAGCAGCAGCCAGGGCTGGTCTGGACCAGCAAAGCCATAGCCCAGCAGCCCACGTGGAGGAGCGGTCAGAGCAGCGGTGCTGGGGCGGCAGGCCTATCACGCGAAGTAGGTGCTTTGAGTGTTAAGAGGGGCTAAGGAGGTCCCCCAGGGTCCACAGACATGCCTGCGGCGCTGGTAAGGGTGGTGTGGCCAGGGCCCCAGCTGATGAGAATGGGGTCTGGCCTTAGGCTGGTCAGAGGGAGCCCTGAGGGCAGGGCCATGTGGCAGGAGCACCAAGGGCCTCAAGGCAGAGTCTGTTTTCCACCCAGAATAGAAGTAATTCCGAGTGGGGGACAGTGCTGCGGCAGGACCAGCCCATCCTGGCTGGCGGCCGTGGGCCTCTGGGCCCAGCCTTCCCTGCCACTCCCCCAAGGAGACGGTCCGCCTAGTAGGGACTACGATAGAGGTGGGAAAGGCTAGCACATTGAAACAGAAGCATCGGTAAGAGTCAGAGTTTACCGGGATCTCCTGCCTCATGGCGGAGGGCCCGTGTGTCAGGGTACGTCAAGGTGATTAGTTAATATACCTCAGCTGAGACCTGGGCTGCACCTTCTAGTGAAACAAACTCTAATGGGGCCTTGTCACCCAGCGTGACAGACCGGGGCCCTGACTATTTCTCTGGGCCAGGACTGTGCTGTACCCCCTCCCTCCCAGAGTAAGAGCTGAGCAGAAGACAGCCTCAGGCTCTCCTTCCTAACCCCCAAAACTCAGAAGCATCGAGGAAAATAGAGCCCTTACTTGGCGAATCTGTGTAACTGTCCATTTGGCGTTACGCATCACTGTCTCGATCCGGTGGAAATGCAGTCCCCTTCAGGCCCTCCCGGGTCCCCCAGCACCTTACAGTGGGTGGAAGGGTCCCCTGCAGAGGGGTGCAGGCAGGGCCCTCCTTTCTCAGCCAGGAGCAGAGGGAGCCTGCTTCTCAGAACCCTCCAGAGGAAGGCGCAGGCCCCTGGACCAAGTGGGTAAGCACCCCTAAACTCCTCCACGACCCCTAAACGACTCGCCTCTTGGGTAAGGAGCAGCCAGTGACTTATTTCTCTTAGAAGGAGCCTCTGTTTCCTTTCTTTTTTCAGTTGAAATAGAAGTAAGGCATTGCCACATCAGCTCTGAGAAGCCAAATTCATCCCTGAGGCTACAGATTCCTTTATCGTGGCCCTGCCTTCTCATCTAGATATTAACGGAGCCTCATGACCCACCGTCTGCCCCCAAACCAAAGTAATCCCAGGGTGGGAGACCAGTGAGGCAGAGAGAAAGGCCTTCCCAGCTCAGACCCTCTCCCACTCCTCCCGTGAGGCCAGGAGGAGTTGGGGATGCAAACAGGACTCTACAGGCATGATGGTTACATAAGACTCTGATGCTGGGCCTTGTTCGAAAGGTTTCCTCTGCTCAGCGTCATTTCATGCCAAAGTGTTGCTAGGGGTGGTTTGTGTGCACAAAATCGCTTTCTTCCACCTCGGAAATGCAGCTTTCCCGTGGGCCAGGCCTACACCAGGACTACCATTCTGAGCCAACGAGTCTATTGCATTGTTTGGCGAAAGGGAACTGAAGTGATACCTTGAGCCGTCTCAGTAGTAGGGGAAACTCGGGTGGGCAGAGCAGTTGCTGGGAATGGAACCTGCCTGCAAACAGCATTGCGAACACTAAACTTGCTGGCCAGGGAGCCTCCTGGGCACCTTAAATGCACACCGGCACGTGAGTCCCGAATAAAGAGGCAGAGAGCACCGCACATACAGTCCCCTGACCAACCACCTGGGTTTTTCTAGTTCCAGTGAACTTAGGAATACTTCTCTTCCCCTTCCCCTGACCAAGAAATCAGGTTTCTGATCCCTTAGCCTGCATTCGCCCTCCTGTCCATACCAGAAAATCAAAGAATTTTCGGCTAAGTCACAGGACTCATGATCATAATCGTCTTATAAAAGTTTCCTTCCGCCTCTGAAAGAACATATACTCCAACCGTCCCTCAAATAATCGCCCAGGATATTTCAGGGTCTCAGATTCTGCCTTTTCACTTTCCTGGGAAGAGGCCCCTTCAAATCGCAAAACCCATGCTTGTATTTGGATTCGAAATTAGGGCAGCATCTTGAGAAATTGCAAGCAATAGAGGACGAGCGCTGCTGTTGGAGATACACAACGTGATAACATTGAGCGCTGTAGGTCCCTTCAAGAGAATCTTCAGCTGTATGTCCAAGTTTCCACTGTAATATTAGTCCTTAGCATCTCCTCAAAACAAGAGATAGGGAATGAGAAAAAGAGGGGGGGGGGGTGTCCCAGACTCCCAGCAGGCCTTCAGACACGGGATGAACTCTAGATGCCAGATCCAGGCTTCCTCTTAGTCAAGATCAGGAAACATTTACTGTACCATAAAGGGATGGTGGCCTGTCCATCCTTCTAGCTGAAGAATCCATTTCTATCCTGGGCTTCCCTACTCCGTGTCCTTGTGGGGTTCTGAGATCACGGAGAATGTTTCTCTGAAGCTGAACTCCAAATGTTCTGAATTTTGCCCTCCCTTGACTCTGAGGCCACAAAAGAAAGACCCCCATATTCCATAAATCTACCATCTCCCTGACTTCCCCCCACCCCCCTGCAAAGTGTGGTAAACAGTGCCCTCTGTTCTCCATCCCAGCATTGTTTTGCTGCATGCTAACACTGGCTCTGCTCCTAAGATGGCTAAATCTACCCGATCCAAGCTTATTTGCTGACCTGCCTCTGCTGTCCTCACTGCTCCTGGACAATGCTTTATTCTCATGAAATGCAGGTGGGAACTCGCCAGGTGATCCAAAATAGTGTAAGGTGCTGGATTGTTCGGAGGCGTGGGGAATGTGTGTGAAATGTCCACAGACGCAATGAAAGCCCTCGGCAGGGAAATTAGGTCTCTCCGGGCATAATGGAACAAAATTTAATAATTTGGTTTTTTAAAGAACGTTCTCAATTTTTCATTACATTCTATTTCTAAAACCTGCTCTGGATGTCTTGTTTTTGGACAGAGTATTTCTTTAGTGGGTCGAGCCAGGGATAAGTTGAGAGGTGCTTCCATTTCTCAGCCTACCTAAAATATATTAGATGTAAATATTATAAGGTTGTATTAAAAACAAAAAGGCAGGGAGGGCAGATAGTTAACCTAACCTACCTTGCAGGGATCTGTGAGACTTGAAGGTTAAGGAACTTTGCTATTTTTACCAGCTTTACATCTGCTGTGTTTTGAGATCCTCAAAGGCCTGGCGTAAAGAATGGTGGTGAGGAGAGGCACTGCCATGTCTTGGGGTAGACTCTCTCTCACTTGCTACACACACATCCTGTCTGTCCTTCCCTCCTGGATTCTGGGACACTGAGGACATTAAGATGCAGAAAAGATGGAAAAAAGTGGGCCCCTTGTAAGTGGCCAGTCAGGGCATAACAGTTTAACTCCATTCAAAAGCCCCATAAAGAATCAGGTCCAGGTTCAGATAACTATATATCCACACTGAGACTCTCAACAAAAACCAAAGGAAATGAACTCAGCAGTTGGGACCTAACCGATCCATGAGGAGATCCCACATTCACAAGCACTGCCTGGATTAGCCTCTTTGTCTTTTTTGATTTTTGATCTTTCCTCTCTGAACTGCCTAGTACACCGTAGCGAGGCCTAACCCAGCGGAGCAGCAGCCGATGGCTCCTCTGCTGGCTGCTGTCAGAGGCTCGGCTACAGACTGCCGGGGTCCCAAGCTGCTGCTCACCCAGTCATAGAATATGGACGTATCCACTAGGGGGGACAGAAGCCTAGGGACAGAAACAACCATCTTTGGTTTCTGATGGCTACCTTTTTCTTCCCTTGAATCCTTTCTGCTCCGACCCTCTGTGGCTTCTGCATCCCAGAGAGACCACTCTAAGCCAAAGATGATAGATTCACAGGTTGTCCCAACTACCCAAAGGGCCTGGAAAGCTGCTCTCAGAACTCAAGCCAGTTGAGAAGTGAGAGTGGACTCAACAGAGTCTAGTCGCATGGCCGGTGAGGCTGGTGCCCCAAGCTGCCCCTTCTATTTTTGTAGTCTTGCTTCCTTCTGCTCTCGGCCCCAAGCTAATAATAGGGGGGCTAGTATCTTGACCTTCAAAATGCAAAAACCGATTTTATAATAAGCCATGCTACTATGTAAATACGTTTTTGAGGTTTGAGTTCTAATTTCTGGGAGTTGAGTAGATCAGGTAAAAAGAGGTAAGGGATGTGTGTTTATTTTTATTTGGGTTTTTGTAATAGATCTGCTCTACAAGGTCCCAGGAGGATAAATGTGTGCTCTGCAGTGTTTCTAGGAATTAATTCTTGTCCAATTGAATGATGTACCAACTGAGTCAAAATCCCAGGTTATACACCACCAGCCCCCTCTTCTCTCTCGGGCTTTCTTTTTGTCTTTCTCCTTTTCTCTCTGTTTCTCTATCCCTATCTCTTTGTCTCTTCTCCTTCTATGGACTTAAAATGTAATCTAGATTAATGAAAAACTTCCAAGGAAATAATAGAATGAATACAGAATTTTTCAGGACATCTTTAACCAATAAATACACAGCTTGTGTCTTTATGAGAAGAGCAAACCATTTAAAAGCAGTGTAGTAATTGGGTAAGTGAAAATTATTGGGAGTCAAAAGTAAAACATTATATTCTAGCCTTCTATAGGCACTTGT